TCGTACTAGCGATTTCCATATATATATCTCGGGTATACGTGTTGCATCATTCCTATTCCACATGTGTTGCATGTTGGCTGATTCGATGAAGAAAGATTCAGTAATCAATCTCTCCCTTCATATCTCCACCTAATTATATTCAACTCAAATGGTACAGTGGTTTTATTCATTAACCTATTCTGTGGTTGTATTTTATTTAGTCTATGCATTCCAATGGTCAAGACTTTTCTGGATTATTGATCTAACTCGCGTCTGTCATTCTGTATTTAGCTAAACTCATATGTTCCACTAGTCTCACTGACACCCGATCGACTAGTTGCACCCATGTACTTCACCTCAATCACAGTCATTACACTGAATTTGATAGATTAGATTATTTTGCTTAATCGCTTCTATCACGTCCTTAAGCCACCCGACAAAGCTTATCTATCAGTGAGTTTGTAACTTTAAATGCCACACTAATTCCAGCCTTGTTCACAATCCTACATACAGTTTCTCATGTATCTGTCTTCCTTATAGGGTAACACAATGGAGGTTGTCAACTCCTTTCTACTCATGTTGTCGTTACTATTCATACTCGTGTTGCTGTTATTATTTGATTTATGTGTGTTTGTAGTAATTTCTTAATAAACTGCTGAGGATAGTTGTTAACTATTAGTGCTTGTTTCATGTGTTTCAGTTACTTGTTTACGTCCTTGGACTGACTAGTCAGTTTTCTAGCTCTACCATTTAGACATTTGAGTAATTCCGCCTTAACCAACACCGATTGGATGAGATGACTTGAAGTCTAGATACGTGTTGGAATGTGTTGGTTTTCTGTAAACGGTAGTATCCAAGTCACTATTTGTTCTTCGTTTTTATTGTGCAATCCAACATAGGTAATTCTCTTTGTTCATTTTCTACCTTGTATGTGAGGAAATTGTCGATATGTTCCGACTTTAACACAGTAAATGTGTCATCCACATATCGCCACTATATCTTAGGTGCAGGACTAAACGTTTGTAAAGTTATGTTTTCCCAACTGTTCATTAAAATATATGTTACGATCGCAGATATTGACTATCCCATTTCCACTCCTTCTGTTTGTCTGTCTGTTTTTTCCTCAAAACTGAAGACTGTAGAGGTCAGGCACAAGCGTATGTCTAACATGATCATATCAAATGATATGTTAGTTCTGAGTCATTATTTAGTTGACTTTTCATTGTCTCCGGGGCCATATTGATTGGTATTTTCTTATAAAGACCCGTTACATGTAAACTAACCAATTTTTCATCTTCTTCTACATGTAGGTCATTAAGTCTTAGTTTTAACTCGTAAGAGTTTACTAGTCTAGAATTTGAACGATTCCTTTCAATTGGATCCAACAAATGCGTTCCATCGACTTCGTCATCCAAGAATACTTTATTCTCGGAAAGTATCCGTCTTCAATCACTGACTCACTGCCTATCGATTTTGAATGTCAAGCATTCAAGTAATTTTCTGATCGATGGGTGAAACGCAGGACATGGGTTTCGTCCTTTTTTTTACGACTCGTCAGTTAGAGTTATGTGGATCAATAACAAAGTTTCTGCGGAGACTCAAGTTTAAAATCAATTGTTTCAAGCACTTAGAAATGTGCTTTACCTGTGATTTTAGTCTGTTTATTAGAAATATCATACAGTGAAACAGTAGCATTTACTGGATAACGTTTCGGACACCTGTCATATGGAACGCTCTCCTTTCAGGTGTTTCCAGGTAACCGTATAATATAGGAGACACTGAATTACGAGTAATATTTTGATCTGAAACTCAATTGTATGGTATATTTCCTGGATACTGATTTGAATTATTTCAAGCTCCATATGGATACTTGAATAAAATCTGTAGAAATAAAACACTGAATTAAACTTTATTATATATTTATTATTCGATCTGAAAGTGTTGCATTCATCCAGAGGACTCCTCATTAGAATTTACCACGAAATGATATCGGTTGGAGAACTACAAATTTCGGACTGAAATTACTACCTACCCAGTGCATACTAAACAGTGACTTGCTTCGATATGAGATTTCGTGAAGTTCTGAGGCGAAGTCGTCATGATAGGGCATACCAAGTCAGACGTTGTTTGAAGTTCACGTAATACATCGTAAGTTGACTGAAGTAGGAAAATGTCAACCACTTTATTCCAATCCACTGGTTCGATAACGATAAAGCGCTCGCCACGAACCTCGAAGGTCCTGGATTCGTTCCCTGGCAGGCAGAAACCCTACGCTCAGACGGAACCGAAGTCTACTGCTCCCTGGTTTTCAATGGTTCTCCTATTGATTTCATTTTGTGATGAATACCAACTTGAGATGAATAAATGAATCCCAACAAACCACAAACTGAATTCATCATTAATTAGTATTTTTGAGGAGCAAGAGAATATAGGAAATAATTATTGCTAGGTACTCACTGATTTTCCAATGATTCCTGATAACCACTTAAAACAAAACCGTTGGAAGGCCCCAGTCTTGCATAAAACATTGTTACTGGTCTGAACATTTTTCAACTTGTCACTTTCACAGCATGACTAGTAGTTTATTTTTTTCCGCCCCATTGTAATGTAATTCACTGATTGGTTAATCTCTACACTATGTTAATGCCTCAATTTGAGGACAAGGTCATATGTCATATGAGTATAAACTCATGTGTTTTATGAATTAATTGATTATTGTTCTCGGAGGAATAAACTCTCCCATCCAGCTTCAGTCTTCTCCTCTATTCGCCCCAGGTAACAGTCGGTGGCAGTTGCGTACGTAGTTAGCTGTCAGTTCAGTGTACGTATCATATCCACTCGGAATATATAACAAAAACATCGTGATTGATTCTTACTTATTGATCACTAGTAAATGTTTATTTTTAGAGTATTAATATGTTTACAAGTAAACTTTTGATTATCTCTCGTTGTTTAGCTCCAGGAACTCCAGGAGTTTACAGTAATGTGACATTTGCCATAGACTGGATCTATTCAATTATTCGTACAGGGGAATAATTTTCATCATTGTACACTAAAATCATTCTGCTCGTTTTTTTGACAAAAAAATATTTAGGTTTTCCTGAAATTAAATATAATTATTCAAGAAAGTCTGTCATTTTGATTGCATCAAAATAAAATGGATGCCTGATATGGGGATAGAGAGAAATGACCAATTCAAGAACAACCCAATCAGAATCTACTTTATGTGCTCATTTCTATAGTTAGACAGATAGACGGTGGATCAACCAGTCAATAAGATTATTTTCAACAGCGAACTATCCACATATATTAGATATATTTTCCTTTGTTTTTGACTTCGGTCTCTCGACCCCAGTGGTAACGTGCCACGGAACCTAAAGGTTGTAGGTCCGGTCCCTGAAGGGGTCGTGAGTGCGCACTGCTGAGGAGTCCCATACTAGGACGAAACAGCTGTCCAGTGTTCTCAGGTTTCTATTGTTCCTCCAACTAATGTCAGTCTACGATGAACACTAACTAGAAAGTATTTCTAAATCCCCACAACCCCCCGAAATACAACTAAGAATTTGTTGAACGTTGTGACACTCGATATCCGTGCATCGTAAGTTGCCATAGCCATAGCAGTTTCGAAATCATAACAATGTCTACACTAAAGATTTTTCATAGTAATGAGGAATAGTGGCTAGCAGGGGAATTCAGGATGTACATTTCGCCCTGTTTTGTACTCGTCGGCTGTTCCCATTAGGACTCCAACGCAGTACGAGTTCCGAATAGTTCGAGACGCACATCCTGGATTCCACTGCCAGCCATCAAATAAACTACAATTAAATAAATATCGAGGTAGGGGTCCGCACCGAAACCCATCTGCCAACAGAAGTCAAGCAGTTCGACCCAGTATAGCGACAGGAAATCACAATACCAATAAACAATAGTTCAGTTTAGTTTAGCTGATGACAGTTCTCCTCCAGGTGAAGTTAAGGCATAACAGAAACCATCTGCAAAGTCTCATTACCAACTCCGAGGAATAACAACGAACCGTGCTGAAATGAAACAATAGTATTTCATGCATACTATCATGAGGTAAACAACCTACTTCCAGTGTATATATACATACACACAACACACACAGAAAGACAAAAGAAATTGGAAAATATAACGTAGTACGTGATATTAAAATGGAAGTGTGGGGTTATGAGAAGTAAAGTGAAAAAATCCCTATAGTTCCTCTCTCCAATAGATTTTCAAGGATATAAAAGTAAACAACCTAATATATAGTTATCGAAATCCGATAATATCTAAGGTGCTTTCACTAATATGCATACACACACGCATACATATACAAGTTTAAATGTGTGATTCAATCTAAATTAAAATAAAGCGCGAAGAATAAAAGGTTCGAACAGTGGGGAAAAACAAAAAATTCGCACTCAGTTCATTAGACAGAAAAAGGCGAAACAGATGTATATCTCGGTAAAAAGATGTCCGCCATCAGACTGCAGTATTTACACAAAACCCTAACCCTTATTACAATTTGTTTTATTCGTTATCTCACACAGCAATTCAATTAATTTATCGACTAAAATGTCATTCGACCAATCGACGTGCAGTTCACGTGACCAGACTCAAATCATGCCTGTACACATTCATTAAACAAATAGTATTGTTGAAAGAACCAATGAAAAAGCAGAGAATGACATGTCTACTGGAAGACGATGATTGGTGCGTTTAGACCGGAAAGAGCGATATACAAATATGTATATGAGAAAATGAATGACGAAGCATACTGATATAAACGCGCGAAATCTGACTCACGGACAGAACACCGGTAAATCAAGGCGAATTGTGTGTATGTGACAAAGTAAACAAATTAATATTCTTCCTCAAAAAATTCTGAATTTTTTTGGAAATTGAAGAGAGCCTGGAGCAAAAGCAAAGGGAAACAGATCATCACAGCCAATTTCCTTTTTTTAAAAATGAAATAAACACTCAACATTAATTCACCTAATATTTTGTACATCTGAGAGCTAAGAATTGGATTTCATTGTGGTATTATTTTCATTGGGTAGATTGGCAGTGGATATCTTGCCAGAATCATTATTACAGAAGCCGTTAGGAATGTGTACATCAAACAAATTAGCATTTAACGCAGGATGATAAGTGGTAACAGGCAATCGCGTATCCAATAGTAGATTTCCATTAGCATCTTTAACTCGCAGACGTCCAGAACTGTAACGAGTTTCTTGGCGGCCATCAGGAAAAACAGTTTTTGTTGTACCATCTGGGTATATACGACACTACATAAATAAGAGTTTACAATAAAAAACAACAGTGAGTCGAAAGTGGCAATGTATGTTTTTATGTGAATAAAACGCCTGTATTGAAATGACCCCACCACTGCCAGGTTTCAGTACTTTACCGAATTCTGGGAAAACATACAATGAAGAATTATAACCCTGTGATGTAGACAGATAGGAACAACATAGAATGAAGTAACAACTGCGCATCAGGGGGTCAACAAGCGGAGAATAAAGTACTTAAATATCTGAGGTGACAACAATAAAATATATGAAGACGTTTTTAGGAGACGAGGATGTACTACCAGTGTTGTCACCAGTATAGTGGATTCTGTGTCATATGGCCTTTAAACTATAGACCTCGACCAAGAAGCCACGCTTATTCCATCATCATCTAACATAACGTAACGATGAGACAAGAGTAAGTCGGTGGCGGGCATAACCCGTCCCCTAGCCACATGATTTTGTGAAGGTTTGAAACCTGATCACGGTACTTGCAAACATCACCCGGTACGCTGAAATGATACATTGATCCCACTAAATACCAAGTGATGAAATACATAGATTTCAGCTAGCACTCAAAAGTAGAAAACATTAAATTGCTTACGTTCCATTAACTAATCGACTCCTACATCATGTCAATCACGACCCGAATAACTCAGTAGAAACATCACTAACTGTAGTCTTGGAGGTGACGTGGGTTGGATCCCTCAGCGGTGACACATTAGTTCCCTCTCGAGGTTGCAGATACACCTAGATGACGAATGCTAACAAGCATAAGATGTAGATTGAGGAGGGCTTCTGGTCGATTACCTCTCCTCAACTTATTTCGTAAACCTTTCAACTTGGCAGATATGCATATTATCACCATAAAGAGCATTGCTGTACAGCTGCATAAAGAGGGTCAGTTTCCAGAAATATCGTCAGACACTACAGTTGATGCGATTCGGCAAGAATCTACTTACTACCTAACTTGTTTCACTAAGTAGAGTTAAAAATTTGTTAAGTGTCGCTCACAATCACATCAATATTAACTAACCTTAATTCCTGAACTAGAATGAATTTCTCGTTGCCCATTGGGTAATAAAATCTCCTTATCCCCATTACTAAGTCTTCGGCATACTTGTTCATTTATCAAACATTTCGATGGATTGGCTGGGATTGTTATGGGAAGTAATCCATTAGAAGAACCTGTTTTTACATTGGAATGAATAATTTCTTGGCGTCCACTATAGAATAACAGATGTGTGAAAAGAGAGAAGTATAAGAATGTGTGGTTGATATTATTATTACCATCATTATTATATTAGCAGTAAATATTAAGACCACAATTCGTGTCATAGATTAGCTGAGAACAAAAACTCAGCAATCATCGGCTTGAATCTACCTACAAATCAGATTTCCCTTTCAATCCAGTAACCAATACCAAAGGCTACCTCGAATGAGATTGTGAACCTTCATTGGCTCAGTTGGCTGGGACACGTGTTACGCAAGCTTAGTCAGCATTTCCCTTGTCGCATATTGTCGGCTGATGTAGGCCCACAGCAGGATAAGTTTACAAGCGGTCAGACTAAAACAGTCCCTGATTGTTGTTCTCATCTGCGGATTCGATTGCACGTGACAATAAAGAAAGGTGTTTGGAGATCCTGGATAGTGTGGCTCAGAATCGACCTCAATGAAGCTGAATCTCGTTATAATTTTATTCTTCCTTGTTCTCTTTTAACGACTCCCTACTAATTTGATCTCGGCCTCGAACCTCAATGGGGTCGTCAGTATGCACTCCACAGGAGTCCCATACTAGGATGAAACAGTTGCCCACTACTTCAGGATTTTATTGGTTTTCCAGACAGACAGACATTCATCAACAACTGCCACCTACGCTGGCTCGCTACTGAAGATCAGATGGCCAGAAAGAATAAACAGTAAGCAACTCACTCTGGCAACGAACCAACAAAGCAGGAACCTATCACTCAACAAATATGCACTGGAAGGAAGTAGAGATGGATTGGGCATGCACTGAGAAGGCTGATTGGGGACATCACGCAACAGGCCAGGCACTCGAGTGGAAGCCAGATGGGAAACGACGAGTTAGGCGTCTCAGCTGAGGGTGACATGGAGGAGATGGTGCGAGGAGGAAGTGAGAGCTTTTGGGCTGTCGTGGAGAGAGGTTGAAAATATTGCAGAGAAGAGAGTGTAATCGAGACGAGCTACTGAAGCCCTGTATTCCATTAGGAACCCAAAGGACAAATAATATAATCACAATAATAATAATAGACAGACAGACAAAATTAACGTAGAACCTTGCACACAAGTGCATCGGTCAAGTCACCATACTTCACAGTAGCATACAGAGAATAGATGGATAGGAAAAGAGTGATATTAAGGTACATAAACTTGTGTGAGAGAATAAACAATTTGCAGATAAAAAGTTAGGTCTTAGAAGATGTCAAGGAGTGAATACATCTGCACGATTATCAATGATTTCCAGCTCTGTCACCAAGAATCCTCAACTACTGAATCCTATTATCTCGGGGACTCTGAGAAGGCAGTCTACATCTCCCCCACATGGCTCAGACCAAAAGCGGGAGACTTCACCGACTGGTGCCGAGCCCTGGTCAGGTCAACCTGAACTTTTTCCAGCTCAATCCAACTTTCTGTAGCAATGTACGTCGAAGTAGGCAATGATTCGTCATGCGCAGTACATGTTTAAGCCATCTCAGTCAACTTAGGTCACAACCTCATCTTCGCCTGACCTCAACACTGTTCACGGGTTCGAGCACAAATTATTGGACAAAACCATATTATTGTAGTCATCCTCCATTCACACCTGATTTTTATAGTCCTGTCACCTCTTATTCTTTGTTTCTGTTGGTAGTAAAATTTTCCATATCTCTAGTATAGATGTTGCATCACTTCTATTCCACATGTGTTGCGCGTTGATTTGATGAACAAAGATTCAGTAATTAATCTCTCCCTCTCTCTCCACCTAATAATGTAGGACTTAGTACAGTGGCTTTATCCCACCCACCATATTGTGTGGTTGTGTGTTACTACACATGCATTGTAATAGCCGAGTTCTTTTTCTAGATTATTGATCATATTAGGGTCTGTCATTCTACATTTAGTTAAATTCCTGTTTCGCCAATCAAACTGACCCTGATCGACTAGTATGACCTAGGTATTTGACAAAATCAACGTAAAACCTCGCAAATGAGTGCATCAGTTCAAGTCGTGACACTGATTTCAAAGTAGACGGTGTACTGAGGGAGAGGAAATATGAAAATAAAGGTTAGTCAAAACATTCAAGCTTTAAAGGCGAGTGAATAAATCTACGTCATTGTGACCGGTTTCCAAACATTTCACCAAGACTCTTCAACCGCTGAATGTTATAGTCTCAGGCCTCAGTTACGTAGCCTATACTTCTCTAAACAGTCTAGACCAATAACCAAAGACTCTATGCACAGATGTCACCCTGAGCCTTCTTCCAATCAAATCATCATTGGAACATGCAGAATATACTTTTCGAGTTAGAAATGCCGTGGCTTAACCAATCCAATTTCTATCACACTAGTTTGACACTAACCAATTGCTTTACATGCATCAAACTAACACCATGCCATAATTTGTATGCCATCTGTAAGTTCATAAAACATCATCTCGTACCCAAATAAACCATTAAAATGAGTTGAACACAACTCACTCTGCAAATAAAATTTCCTCAGTACCATTAGGAAAAGTTGTCTGAACTGTTCCATCAGCTGCATAATGATATATCTGTATAAGCCAAAAAATTGGATTGAATACATTTACGTGTTAATCTCAGATAAACAAACAAGTAGTTACTATAGAAAACAGTGGTCATTGTATGACTAATTTTTGATATCAGAAGGAAATTTTATATAGCATTAAAAGAAAAGGTTCAGTGTACCACCTGAACAATGATTAATGACATACATCGCACTGTGTAGAAGAATTACAGGAAAGAGCTCGGTATAAGCATCATTTTCTCTCTATCTCTTAAGTGTAAATCTGGATAGGATAGATATCCTAGTCTATTGTTGACTGTTTTACTAATAATTCGTGAATTACGTCGCAATTTCAAACATTATTAACTGCATCGTAATATCAATTGATTATTGCCAAGACGTTTAGCATAATGTGGATTGACAGTGTTATTTTCCTAATTATTAGATAGTGACTAGGGTCGGTTTCCAGTGGTTCACAATTTTCAACTTCTGTCAATTCACGATATAGCGCGACTATCACCCAAGTTCTTCAGTTAGCATCCTCCTCACTTGTAACGGGTTGACCCTACAGGTCACGGCTTCTCACTAGAGCTTCCTGGTATCCATCTGGATATCCCCATTCATCTCAAAAATACATTACTGTATAGTGCTCATTAGTGACATGCTTCCAGATGGATATCAGGAAGGTGTAATGAGAAGCTATGACTTGTGGGGTAAACCAGTCGGAAGTGAAGCGGATGCTAACTGAAGAACTTGGATGATAGTCGCGCTATATCGTGAATTGACGGTAGTTGGAAATTGTGAATCACTGGAAACCAACCCAGTGGCTGAATGGTTAACGCGTTCGCCGTGAAACCTGAAGATCCTGAGTTCGACCCCTAGCCGGGTCGTGGGTGCGTACTGTTGAGGAGTCCCATACTAGGGGGAAACAGCTGTCCAGACTTTCAATGGTGCCCCAACTGATAATCAGTTCATGATGATTACTTACAAAAACATATCTCTTATATACGGTTTACATCAGTATATGAAACCACCAGGTGAAAAGCTGAATAGCTTATTTTGATTAGTCAACTGATGGATAACATCGTCCAATCAGGTTTCGCCCGCCCACGCAACGACATGAAACAAAAATATAAATACAATAACTTCTGCCTTACCGGTTGATGACTTCAAATGTTGATTTCTATTTCGTACCAAAAATATATGAAATAGCTTGATTTATGAGACAAAAAAAATCGATACACTTACTACACGACCATCTGGTAAAGTCCGTTTAATATCTCCATTGAATAACGAAACAATCACAGTGGTGGCATCAGGAAAAATCTCTTTCACAGAGCCATTAGCATATGATACAACTACAGCACCATTCGAATAGGTTTGTTCAATCTTTGATAAATAAAATCAACAGAAAATTTTTCAAAAAAAAAAGCTTTAGGGGAAAAGCAACACTTGAAGATAAGCACAGTATAAAACAGTATCATCAAATTAAACAGTAAACAGTTTTAGTATCTTGAAATAATGCCATCAGATTCAAATCAAAATAAAAATGTTATCTGGACTTGTGACTGCTGAACTGCCCAATGCAGAATTCATCTCTTCAGCCATGTGACCTGAACTTAGGCATTCTCTCTCTCTCTCTCTTTTTTGTTCAGATTAGTCTACTGAGTTTGGATAGTTAAATCTTGTGTAACAATCTGGTTAAGTCTCGTTTTTTGATTACACCAATTTAAGTTGATTTAATCTAAGAGTTGAGGCTCATTGCCTTAAGAAGTTGAATTCTAATCAATAAGTCACAGAGTTCAAACCCAGTCCCACCTAATTAAAGTTAGGCGGCTAGGCAGTATTATTCAACAGCCCTTTCACAAGAGGTGCTTGGCCTACTGCACGCGTGTGCACAAGGGCAGACAGGTAGATAACGAAATCAACGTGGAGCCTCGCACATAACTGCATCACCTCAAGTTGCCACACTTCACAGTAGTACACGAAGAACAAGTGTATAGAAAAAGGAGTGATATTAAGGTAGATAAAATTGTGTGAGGAAATAAACAATTTGAAGATAAAGGTCAGTGCAAATATTCAAGCCTTAGGAGATGTCATCATTGTAATCGATTATCAGCCATGTCACTGAGTGCCCTCAACCACTAATTTATTCCTATCGTCTACATTTCCCCCATACAACTCAGACTAACAATCAGGGACTTCATCGACTAATATTGCTACTTTGAGCTCTTTTCCAACCTAATCGAAATCTAAAATAATGGAAAATTGAAAGGAATAGTGAATCACTGATCAGAATCTTCAATACTGAACCTATAGAGGATGGATGCACATCTGACTGTATATTTATTCTCCATTCGAAAGAACTAAATAACCCAATGAGAAAGTAGAGAAGAAAATAAGGCATAGTATTACAACATTATCAGACTACAAAGTAAGTTGTATAAACTACGATCAAGTTTTAACCGAGTAGTATCGCAATTTTTGATTACTCGCCATCAAGAAGCTCGGGCTAGGCTTTAGCGCGAAACAATGTTGGGATTATTTTATTTCAAACGCGCATGACTTACAGAAATATACACTGCACTATCGGAGAGTTAATGATGGTAATTTACTTGATAATGGCTGGCAGAGGAATCCAGGATGCGTGTTTCGCCCTAGTTGGGGCTCACCAACTAAATGTACCTGCACCCCACTGGGAGTTGGACCTCGTATCCATCCACCAAAGCGCTATGCACTGGTCTCCAGAGGTCGAAGGAATTTGATCCAGTAAAACAACGAAGAACTACAAGCACATTAACAAATAGTAATAACTAATACTCGTTGTACAAAAGGTGGCCATCGTGCCACAGTGACATAGTGGATAACGCTTTAGTATTTGGAGCGATGGGTACTAGGTTCGAGTTTCAGTGGGAACATCACTCCGCACTGAGGTGCAGTACATCCAGCTGACGAGTCCCAAATAGGACACCACGCATGTCCTGGATTCCTCTGCTAGCAAAAACCAACTTAATTACCATAATTAACATTCAGGCAATATCGAGGCATCTGCATAGGAGCACATATGCCAATAGAGGTCAAACGATTCGATCCAATAAAAACAGCCAAGAATTACAAGTATATCAATAAATAGTAATAACATTATCACAGTGTTCATAGAAGCCAACATCTGGCTGCTGTTTACAGCGAACTTGAAATATCTCATTTTAAAGGTAAATTCCTCATTAGGATGGACAGACAGACGTATCAACGTAGAACTTGGCATCGAAGTGAATCGGTTCACAGCAATATGCAAAGGAGATGTAAAGTGACGAGAAGGATATCATATAGGTATATCAGCAAAACGAATGTCTAACCAGCAATTTATATCATGTAACCTACACGATTCAGACCAATACAGAAACTAGGTACACTCATGTCTGAAATTGGTTTTATCTCCTTTTTAACCGTTTTTTTAAACCAATCTCACTTCAGTTAACAATACACGCATCAAGGTAGGCAGTGTCTTGTTTCGAAACGTGCAACACACATCTAAACCATCGTAGTCGATGACAGTTGAACATTTCATTGATTGACTTGCCTAGTAGTATCCTACGCATAAGCTCAATATTACACACTAATTGGTTCCACAATACTCGTGAAGACACTTGTGGTCAAAATCTTATAATATTTTTATTCCCTATAATTTTATCATCGTAAAATAGGACAGAGAGGATTGATTGATGCACAGTAGGTGATTTAATCATCTGAAGTTATGTGAAGATTCTATCAAATAGCCGATAGAATTTTAGGTAAAGATTAACGCCATTAACATAGACAACGATGAATTAATGGTGTCCTGGATCAATTGAACCTCCTCACTAACGATACACAACTTTCACAATTCAACTACTAACCAGCTCAAAGAACGTATCACAATCCCGAAAATCCACCTGAGCTATATATACTCTCCAACACCATGACAATGGGATTACCAACTAAATAATATCTAACTTTTCATGTTCAATATTCACATTTCACATAAACCATTTTATATTAAGAGACAAGGCTAGTGAATCACTCACTGTCAAATACCGACACCTGACAACATATTGAAGTTGATATTGATGATGTTGTCTAACAAGACAATGAAAGCTACATGATTAAACCAGTCAACTAAGAGGATGTATCATAGCCTAGATAGTGAATATCAACAAACAATTATGGAATGTTCAATCACTTATCAAAACATTTAGTCTTAAATTAGTTTGGATAACCATAAAGAAAGTAGATATATTTTAATACCAAAAGGATAACACAAGAGAGGTGAGATAAAACAGAAAGCTACTGAACTAGTCTTCAGATATTTGGCAGATAAACATTGTTCAGAAAAATATGGTTATGTCAGCCGAATAGCCGAACACAACATGAATCTTATATAAGACGAATTGTGTATTACTTTAATTATTTGAAAAATTCTATTTTAGTCTCTTTATTAGAAATGTAACATGTTGAATAAACAGTACCATTTACTCGACATAACTTTATTGTCAATATTCATATCAGGTAACTCTACAACTTCAAACAGAGTTTATCATTATTATTTGTCCTTTGGGTTCCTAGTGGAACATAGGGCTTCAGTAGCACACCACCATCCCACTCTCTTCTCTGCAGTCTTTCAACCTGCCGCCATGACTGCCCAAACGCTTTCATTTGTTCCTTGCACCATCTCCTCCATGTCACCCTCGCACACCCAACTCATTTCCCCTTTCGATTCCACTCCAGAAACTGGCCTGGTGTGTGATGTCCCCAGTCGGTCTTCTCAGTGTATACCCAATCTAATCCATCTCCACTTCCTACTTCTTTCTGCATATTTGTTGGCTGAAAGGTTGTCGGTTGGTTCGTTGACAGACAGACAACCAGAGTTCCTTGTTGCCCATTCTTATTATTCTGACCATCTGATCTTCAGTGTCAGTATCGAGCCAGCGTATGTGGCAGCTGTTGATGTACGTCACCAGCTTGTTGAAAATATTTTCGTAACGCGCCAAGTCTCTCAACCATCACATAGAAGCACTGACTGACTTGTCTGACATTAGTGTTGAAAATTCGGATCTTGTTCACGCTTTATGATGAGTGCAGTGCAGTGTTGTGTAGTGTAGTGCAGTGCAGTGCAGTAGATCTCCACACTGATTTCAGACTAATGAAGGAAGCCCTGTCTTGCTGCCTTTCCCATCCTGTTGGTTGGATACCTCCATCCCCTCTGTCTTCTCTACGTCCACCTAAAGTCCCATCTTCTCTGCCTCACCTCTTCTGTCAACTTGTTAGTTTCCGCCTGTAGATCTTCGAGTCTCTGCGACAAGACATTAGACATAAATCATCATCGCCGGCGAAATCCGAATCTCCCAGCCAGTGTATGTCCATCTTCTCACTCCTCACAGTTCCCTGCATGATCTAGTCCACCACAATCAGGAAGATGATCGGTGTTAGTAGGCTGCAACCTCGTCTTGTCTTACTCCTGTCTCCTGTCTTCACTTCAAACGCATCATTCAGCTTTCCATTGTGAATCACTTGGCATGTAGCATCCTCACATAGCATATAGCTGCTGTGGAATGAGGTTGATAAAGGTTAGTGGCTCTAAAACCATAGTGTTGAAGCAGCTGTCTGCCAAATTACTTCTCGGTCGACACTGTCGAATGCCTTTTCAAAGTCGTTGAAGTTGAGATGAAGATCCAGTTGACTGCCATTCTATGGTCTGTTCTATTGTTGCACTGTATTTTAGATAAGGGTTGTTTGCTTAGATTTCACACTTCACATGAACATTTGGTTATTTGTCAAAATGAACTAATCGTTTTTGCTTGAAAAATTATGGATAGAAATTTCACAATAAGTTCAAACTGTGCCACAATGGTTTCAGAGTTGACTACTGTAATCACAGTTAACGCTCATTGTAATAAGAGAATAATGTTGTGTTTCGGAAACTGCTATGTGACCGCTAACGATGCACGGATATCGAGTGTCAGCCACCAACATTCAACGAATTCCCAGTTGATTCCGGACCCGACTAATTAATCGAGAAGACATGAAGGACGTGTATTTGGGGTCGAAAGATCGAAGACCAATCCAAAGAAAAACACAGCTTATATATAGGTAGTTCGCTGTTCAAAATAATCCTATTGATTGGCTGATTCACTGTCTGTCTGTCTATCTATCTCTCAAATTGTATACATGATGACATAAAGCACATTTTGATTGGTCGCTGCCATGACTAGTCTTTTCTCGCTATCCCCTTGTCAATAATGCATATAGCTTACATTACATTTGTGTTAAAAATTCCTCTTCTTATATAAAGTTTTCTTCTGTTTGGCTATCAGGAAGGAAAAAAGAGTTTTAGAAGAATATCAACGTGCTTTAAGAACTATGCCAAATAAGAAGGATCGTGAAGAAATTGAACGACTTAAACAAGAAGTGTGTTTCAAACCTTTCCACTGTTTATTATATGTTTCTGCGATTGTTATGGTTTGATAAATTTATATTTTTGATACTGTACCAGATTTTCGTTCCATATTCAATCATCATTACCCTATATCAAGTCACTGATTTGAGGCCTGTCGAAACCAAGATATTTCTGCTTCCTACTATCGTCTACAGAAAACCGACACATTCTAACAGGTATCTACACTTCAAATCATCCCATCCAATGTCAGTCAATTAAGGCAGTCTTGTTCAAATGTCTAAATGATAAAGGTAGAAAACTGACTAGTCAGTGCAAGGACCTAAACAAGGAACTGAAACGCATACAAGAAGCACTAACAGTTAATAATTATCCTCTACAGTTTATTATGAAATTCGTACGGACACAAAAAAAAACGAGAAATTAACACTGAGAATGAATAATAGCGACAAGACGACTAAAAATAAGTTCCAAGCATCTATCGTATTACCCTATAAGGAAGGAACATCAGAAACCTTATGTTGGATCCTCTACAAAGCTGGAGTTACTGTGGCATTTAAACCTACAAACTCACTCAGAGATCAACTTTGTCGGTTAGCTTAAGGATCTGATAGAACCAACTAAGCAAAATAATCTAATCTAACAAATTCCATGTAATGACTGCGAGGTCAAGTACATTGGTGAAAATAAGTTATTGGGGTCAGACAGATTAACCGAACATAGAAGTTTAGCTAAATATGGAATGACAAACCCCAACAAGATCAGTAATCCAGAGAAAACCTCGGTTATTACAATGCATAGAACGCATACAATGCACACAAGCACGCAAAAGAGTGGGATAAAACCACTCAACTGAAGTCCAATATAATTAGGTAGTGAGAGGGAGAGATTGATTACAGAATCTCTGTCCATCAAATCAGCTAATATCGAACACATGTGGAATACGAATGACGCAGCACCTATACCAGAGATATGGAAAATGTTACTACCGATAGAAACAAAGATTATCAGGTGGGTGACTGGACTATAAAAATCAAATGTTGAAATTAGTGTGATTACATTGATATGATTATGATAGATAATAATTTATGCTCGAAATGTTATCAAGTAAATAATACTATATCACTATATACTGGCTGTATCAGATAAACAAATCCAAAATGGAATTACATTCTACTACAGTGGCCAAGTTTCATTATTTTCCCTAGGGTTCCTAGTGGAACATAGGGCTTCAGCAGCACGCCACCATCCCACTCTCTTCTCTGCAGTCTTTTCAACCTGCCGTCACGAATGCCCATACGCTTTTATTTGTTCCTCACACCATCTCCTCCATGTCACCCTCGGACACTCAACTCGTTATTTCCCCTTTCGATTCCACTCGAGAAACTGACCTGAGGTGTGGTGTCCCCAGTCGGTCTTCTCAGTGTATACCCAATCTAATCCATCTCCACTTCCTACTTCTTTCTGCATATTTGTTGGGTGAAAGGTTGTCGGTTGGTTCGTTGACAGACAGACAACCAGAATTCCTTGTTGACTATTCTTATAATTCTGACCATCTGATCTTCAGTGTCAGTATCGAGCCAGCGTATGTGACAGCTGTTTATGTACGTCACCAGTTTGTTGAAAATACTTTTGGTAACGCGTCAAGTCTCTCAACCATCACATAGAAGCACTGACTGACTTGTCTGACATTAGTGTTGAAAGTTCGGATCTTGTTCACGCTTTATGATGAGTGCAGTGTAGTGTAGTGCAGTGCAGTGCAGTAGATCTCCACACTGATTTCAGACTAATGAAGGAAGCCCTGTCTTGCTGCCTTTCCCATCCTGTCTTTGACATCCTCACCTGTGCCTGTGCCGCCTGTAGTTGAAACGATACTGCTCCGTCTAGGTAGGTGAAAGAGACAACTTCCTTTAGACTTTCCTCTGTCATGGTGATTGGTGCTCATTGTTGTTGTTGGTCGGATACCTTCATCCCCTCTGTCTTCTCTACGTCCACCTAAAGTCCCATCTTCTCTGCCTCACCTCTTCTGCTAACTTGTTAGTTTTCGCCTGTAGATCTTCGAGTCTCTGCGACAAGACATTAGACATAAATCATCATCGCCGGCGAAATCCGAATCTCCCAGGGTCTCTTCATCGATCCAGCCAGTGTATATCCATACTTTGTGATTGTGTACAATTGCGAGCATGACTATAGTCGAGCTGTTTCTAAATTTCTTATCCCATTAGGATCTGTATTGGGTGATGACTGAAGGTGAAATGAAAATTTGGACCGCGGTTGGATTCGAACTAGCGACTATCAGGTTTCTAATCCGATACTCCATTATTAGGATGTAATAATCTTGATTTAGCTAAGTTTTTGTGCTTAGGTAACCTAATTGACCCTGGTCAACTACTTTGACCTATGTATTTTACCTCAGAATCAACTCAAGGAATTCCGTACACCAAGTTATTTTGCTTAATTGCATTAGCTTAAATGTCACTTTAATCCCAGCCTTATTGAGGATTCGTTGTAAGGCTTCTGAGGGGCCTTCCTTGTATGGCAAAACAATAGAGGCTTTGAATTTTCTCTCAACCCTTTGACCATCGTTACTACTGCTTACACTTTTCTTTTGATTTTTCATGAATTTACTTAATAGATGAATGTAAGTGACTTTTAAGACCCAATGTATTCATTGATGTGTCTAGTGGTAGTAATAATACTGACAGGACTAAGAGAGAATTTCAAGGCCTCCACTGTATTACCATACATAGAAAGCACTTCGGATACACTATGAAGAAATCTCAATAAGGCTTCAGGGATTAAAATGTGGCATTTACACCAAAAAAACTAGCTTAAATAGGCTTTGTAGATTGAGATCCTATTTATCCAACTGGGCAAAACAGTCTGGTTAACCAAATCCTTTACAATGATTCTGAGGTTTAACACATAGGTCAAAGTAGTCAACCAGGGTCAAATTAGGCTATCCGAGCTCAAAAACTTAGCTAAATCAAGATTAGTAGATCCTAATAAGATTGAAAAATTAGAGCAAACCTCGACCATAGCTCTGCAAACAACTATAAACAATCACATAGTAGCCTGGGATAGGGCGACAACATTAAAAACTAAGTTGGTTGGGTAGAGGGAGGGAGAGATGGATAACTGAATCTTTATTTATCGAAGCAACAGAAAACACATGCAACAGGAATGATTCTGCACCTGTGTCCCAGATATATGGATAATTCTACTACGCTTATTCATCACAAAGACGAGAGGATTAGGATCACATAAACTGTGTCTCGAAGTTGTGGAGTTACCTGATATGAATATGGACAATAAATATATGTCCGGAACATAAGCCAGTAAATGCTGTTTCTTCACTGTACAATTTATCTAATAAAAAGACTAAAATGAAATTATAATCTACCACAGTACCTAAGTCTTAACTTTTATATTTTAAAAGTTATTGTAGAGCTCGCTCGGTTCAAGAACTTTCGATTGAACCCTCACTCCTCCATTTATGTTTGACTTGTAGTATTTCAGGAGTAATCACAGTATCCATTGTTGTGCCTATAAATAGACTGGTTCAGTTTTGTAAATTATGGTGCGTTGTGTGATCAGACAGCCAATTCAATTATGTATCTACAGTTGAACCAAACAGCCCAAGATACATACACACAATAAACGTTCATTAATGAGCACTATACAGTAATGTATTTTTGGGATGAATGGGGATTTTTTAATTTAGAAGTAGTATTCATCATGGACTGACATCAGTTGGGGAACCAATGAAAATCTGAAAGCATTGGACAGCTGTTTCATCCTAGTATGGGACTCCTCAGCAGTATGCACCCACGACCCGCCTAGGGGTCGAACTCAGGACCTTCAGGTTTCACGGCGAACGCGTGAACCACTGAAAACCGACCCAGTGGCTGAATGGTTAACGCGTTCGCCGTGAAACCTGACGATCCTGAGTTTGGTTCCTAGCCGGGTCGTGGGTGCGTACTGTTGAGGAGTCCTATACTAGGAGGAAACAGCTGTCCAGTGTCCCCAGACTTTCAATGGTTCCCCATCTGATGTCAGTCCATTCGGAGGACCGAATTACATGACTCATCGGGTAGGTGGGATACAACATATAAAAGACCAATCATGTGCAAGGTCAGCGGGAAGATTGAATCTATAGAATCACGTGAATCGGGCAAAGTACCATTAAATGACAATCAGTTAGGTTCATGCATAGTACGCTGAAATAGTATCCACCTAAAATCTCCCCCCCCCCCAATAAAAGGAAATTTCAGCTTCATATGAAATCGGAAAGACTACATTATTGTATGCTTAAACTTTTAGTTATTTTTTTAAAATCTTACCGAACCGTCAGTATGCTTAACACTTCGGACCAGAGTACCTGAAGCAGCTGTCCCTGGAATAGGCAACTTCTCTTGACCAATACTATGCAATTTATTGACAGTGTCTTTTGCTTGAGAAATTTGACGATCTAGTCTAAAACATAAAAATCAAAAGTTTATTGATTAAAATTGACCGTAAACTTTCGGTTTTAGTGACTGACCTTTGTGAAAATAAACACACTTGTCCCATCGTCTCATATAGGTAAGCTAATGGTTGACCCCAGCAACAACTGGAATCACCAGACTTCTCTATTTTATGAAAATCTGCCTTTCAGCTGAAATGAGGAAACTTTATTATTATTATTATTATTATTATTATTATTATTATTATTATTTGTCCCTTGGGTTCCTGATGGAACACAGGGCTTCAGTAGCACGCCTCCATTCCACTCTGTTCTCTGAAATCTTTTGAACCTGGCTCCAAGACAGGCCAGAAGCTCTCATTTCTTCCTCACACCATCTCCGCCATGTCATCCTCAGTTGGGACGCCCAACTCGTCGCTTCCCATCTGGGTTCCACTCGATGACCTGGCCTGACGCCAGATGTCCCCAGACGGCCCTCTCAGTGTATGCCCAATCCCGATTGTTACTAGGGTGGCATTTGAAGGGGAGACTCTAAAGGCCAGCATAGCTACCATTGGTACAGCTAATCAAGTTTCATTATTTCTGCTGGGAAGTTAAATTTTCATAAAATACAGATCCATAACTGGTTGTCATAAGAGCTGCTAAAGTTGTGAATGTCACCCCTATAACTGGAGTGACTTTAAAGGCCGTCCTAGCAACTGATGAGATAACCAAATAAATTCCTTCATTTTATGGAAAAGTACTTTTCCAGGCAAAATATCGGAGCCTGACTGATCGTCTCAGTAGTTGCTAGGGTGGGCGTTAAAGTCATTCCCAGTTGGTAGTTTACTCGATTTCAAAAAGAAACGTCACAACAATCTGATAAAGCAGCCACACATGAACAAAGACACATCAACGAGCACGAAATGTAGTTTAAAAAAACAAACGAAACTTTAGTTGATACTGTTTAACTTGTTATGAATACAAAAACATCGGTGTCAGCTAAATGTTAAAGTCTACTTATTCGTAAAATACATCAACAAAAGTGAAAAACCACTAAATAATCTGTTTTTCTAGTCAAGTTGAAAATTCAAGTAATTCACTTATATGTACAGATGAATTAAATTGTCTAAAAGAGGTACACACACAGTAAACATCAGACTTCGTGTTCTGTTGTATATAGTTGCAGGGGTGGGCTGGATTGGGTGACTCATTGTGTGGGTGGTTTAAGCAAATGATACAGGGCAGATATATTCGAAACCAATTACGTGCAAGGTCAGCGTTAAGACTGAATCGGAAGAATCATGCGAGTGAGGCGAGTGTTAGATGCTTGATGAGTGTAAGCTTGTGCTACAAGATATGGGCAAAGGATAAAGAACCCTATCGATACATCTAGGTAGGATAAGACGAAAATGCCGACTACTTTCTTCGCGTTAAGCCAGTTCCTATTTGATCATAGGACACAGAAAAATAGAGACATTTAGATTATTGTGAGTAGAATATTTTCGATCCTTCAGTCTTAAAGCTTCATACCGTACTTAACAGACCTCTTAACTTAGTCAAGAGCTGTAAGACTGATGTGCATATTCTGTTCAGTTGAAGCTGGGTAGAATAAAACGAAAATTCTCTCTCTCTCTCTCTCTCTCTCTTAACAACCACGTGCATATTGCGTGCACTAACCAATGCGTCAAACCTATTATATGATGACTAATGATACTACCTAACTGTGGTTTATTGGTTTAAGGACTTTACGTTAGACCGATCAGTCACGAGTCCGAACCCCGTTCCACCTACTGAGGTGTGGGTAGCCAGGTAGTATCAATAACCCTCACACAATAGGTGTACCTAATTGCATAAATGTGCACAAGGTACCTGAGTACATCTCCCTCTCGAACAAACCTCGGCAAGTGAAGCGCTGTTCGAACCCAGGACCTACAGGCTGGAAGTCAAATATCTAGACTAGTGAGTTACAGCTGAACAGAAGGTGAAGCGAAGCTCTAAGATGGATAGTTAAACAGTTGCCTAGATTTTGCCACTCACATCTTTAGTCGCTGATTTAGAGATTTTATTATAGGCTAGCCATTCTCATCGACAGTGTCACTAATCACCAATATTTTCGATCCTGATGGTCTCACCCATCACTTCGGTCAGTTATCACAATGAGGGCTATCAATTAGACTGGATTTGGGCTAATTCTCAACTCTCTAGTATTTAAAATGAGTATCTGCTTATAGCTGACAAGCTAGTCCAAGATTAATTTTGAAGGCAGGATAAAGAAGGTGGGATTTGACTCTGTCGACCGTGAAGTGTTTAACTGCTAAGGAAGTACCGAGTAAGTAAATAACGCTTATCAAAGCTTTATACTCGAACTCATGCAGCCGTGTCAGGGCTTATAGAGAGTTATCAAGCGAGTTGACTAGTGGTGTCTGCCAGGGATTCCATTATCACTGTTCCTATTTTATTTCGTCATAGACGTACTAGTGGACATAACATTATGTGCGTTCGACTCCCTGAAGGTCATCTGGTTGACTTGGAATATGCAGCCGATATTGTCCTGGTACAGAAATCTGTGTGTTTGGCATGCGTTTCGCTGCCACCTGTCAAATGTGAGATTATACTTCAAGACTGGTCTATTGCAAGCACTTTCAGCTTGATGATAGGGAGTGCAGTGGTGAAATGTGTTGCATCAACCCATATGGTTTTGGTGTTGACAACATCTCAGCTTGGATACAGAAGCCTCCTTTTGGTATCTGCCAACTTTTGTCCCTATGGTATCCTCGAGATATCCGGCTATATATCAAAGGACAAACATGCTGATCTGCATTCCGTTCTGTCTTGATGTACAGCTGTGAGACATGTTCGTTGAAAGTAGACAACTTGAAGCAGTTTCAGGGTAGTGAAACCACTATGTGCACAATTTTGAAGTCAGCGGAACAGTACTAACCAAGACAGACAAGTCGATTGACGAGGTTGTCAGCCTTAGTCGACTGAAATGGCTTGAGAATGTACTACACATACCAAGCACTGCCTACCTCGACGTGTTATGCTAGAAGAAGTTGGAATAAGCTTGAAACAAAGACCTGGAACCAGTTAATGAAGTCTCTTACTGTTGATCTGAGACAAAAGGAAGTAGCGGTTGATAACTGTTGTGATACTGAAAATGGATCATAATAGTGCAATGTATTTATTCCTATTCATTCATACTAACCTTTATCTTCAATTTTTTTATTTCTCTGACCGAGACTTGTCTACTTTGATATCAATCTTTTTCTATCCACCTGTTCTTTGTGTATGGCAACTTGAACCGATCCACTTGTGTACAAGGTTCTACGTTGATTTTGTCAGCCAGTTCGTTAGTCGATCTCATTGTTATCCAGTTCTCAATGGTGACCGAGTTTTATCCATCATTTTGCAATGTGGTCACCAAACTAGGAGGCTTGAATAGCTCAGTGGTAACGTGGTAGACTACAACGTTGGGTGGTGTAGGTTCGAGCCTCACGTAAGAGATTCATTAGTTCCCTAGAGGTTGCAGATATGCTTTCTTGGCCGACGAGTGACAACAAGTAAGAAACAAAGTCAAGCAGGGCTTCCTACCGATTGCCTTTAGCCAACCAATATCCATTAAAGAAAATATAACAATAGTTACCTTGGAAAATATTAGTAAATCAATAAAAAAAAACGTTAATTATTCATACTTAGTGTGGTTCTATTGTGTTCGATTCATCATAATAGTTAATGACAATTGGTGGAGTGAGTTGTTTGTTGACAGGGGGATCAGATGGTTTTTGTTTAGTTCTGTCATGATTATCATCATCATCATCATTAAGGTCAGTTGAATGAATAGAGAATTTTACTACACGTCCACTACTTCCACCAACTGAACCACAATCATCATCTCCAGTGAAATAACCATTTCCACTGGTTAAACTTTCTCGTGTACCTGATACAATCGATGAACTACACTCTTGTTGACATGGTTTATTTGAATAAATCTGTTTTTGATTAGTTGACATAATCATATGGCCATTCATAGTACCATATCGATCAGGGTTACTACTCAATCTTGAAACAGGACGAGATAATGTTGTTGTTGTGATGATGATGAACGTGTACACGGTGGTTGTCTTGAACGGTGGTATGTATCACTTGTCGTCTTCAGATTGGTTCCATTAACTGATGGTGCTAGACTGATGGATTGTGAGATTGAGTTGATTGTCTGAAATGACACACACACAGAGAGAAAAAAAGAACAGACATAAGATATATTACTTCAAGAAGGGAAAAAAAGGAGAAAGATTCATCAGGAGAAAAAGCATAAAGACAAAATAACAAACCTGTCGAAGTGATGATGATCGTTGTCTACTAGGATTTGATGTATTCGAGGATATTTGTAATTTTGCTAACCTGACTTTGTAATGATATACGATCTTCTTCTAGTTTACTGATACGACTTTTAAGTTCATCTCGTTCAGTTTCTAATTCTTCAATTCTAGTACGTAGACGACTAAGCGCCGAATGCCATCGAACTTCACGTTTACCCATATCTGTTCGAGATTCTTCAAGCTGCAGAGGAAAAAAAAAAGAAAGGATCTCAATAGTAACCAAGTATTGTTATTCAATTCACACCTGTAATTTCCCATAGTTGTTTTGGACCGAATTAGCCAACCTCTGTCAGCAAGGTGAACGTCTCGGAACTACCCGATTATTGTCTTGTATTCTGTTTGGTGGTGGCTAGCAGGGAAATTCAAGATATGCGTTTTGTCCAACCTAGAACTCGTCAGATAGATGTACCTACACTCCAGGGGTGGTATTGTTCCCACTGAGACTCGAACCCAGCACCCATCATGCCTTAAACATGAAGGCATCATCCATCCATTCATTGTAGCAAAAGAGCCACTTGTTGTTATTCCGGATCGAGTTACTACACAGAAACTGTGAAGATGTGACCGACTGGTTGTACAGTCCAACTATCCCACTCAAATGCTCTCATTCATCCAAACACCTATTGTGTGGGGATTAATAATACTACCCAACTGCTCAAACCTTAGTAGGCGAAATGGGGTTCGAACCACGACCTACTGGTTGAAAGTCAACTTACTAAACCAATGAGCCACAACTCCACACTCAACTATCAAGTAACCGATAGCGAGTTCACACTCTTTTATCCCGAATTCAATCTAAGCAACCAGATATCATAAGTCTTCACACGATTGAAATCGAAACCCACTCAGTAATTACGTGAATGTTCGTGTTGATGGTACTTACTACCTGACTGCAGTGAGTGGAGCGGGGATCGAACCTGTGGCTCAGTGGTGGAAATAAGTACTTAGAGCACTGAGTTGCAGTGCCACTTCATTACAATAAGTTTGATCTATAGCCTACGACATCAATAAACGTTCCGGGTTGTGCTGCAGCGCAGTTTGAATGGCACAGGTTATTTTTTGATGTCGTAAGCTTGAGAATCGCCGTCGCTGATTGAACAGAGTCAGTCAATCATTGTTGGCAAATAGGCTCCTACGCAAAAGCCTCGATATTGCCTGTATTTTCAATTTTGATATTAATGACGATTAGTGGCTAGTAGTGGAATCTGGGACGCGCGTTCGGTCCTATTCAGCACTATTGACACTGCACCCATCGCACAAGGCATGGATATTGTGACTCGGTGGCCTACTGAATAACGCCCTGGTGTTTGAAAATATCTCCAGAATCCCATTGGTGGTGTCCGCCACGGATGCCCGCTGTGACCACTCTTGCTTAATGTCGTTACACATATACTAAAGAACATAATCTTAGGTACTTCCGACTTCCAAGGGATTGATCTACTCCCTGGAGGTCATCTGATTAACTTGGATTCCGCAGATGATATTTTCCTGCTAGGTGAAGACAGAGATTAAACGCAAGGTTTTCCGAACGGCTTGAGCACAAATTTGCGTATGTTTGGCTGGCATGCGTTTCGCGCCTGTTAAATGTAAAATGATGTTCCAGGACTGGTCTGTAACTACTCCAAGTTTAAGGATAGGGAGTGAAGTGGTTGAATGTATGCTGACGCGATCTTAGCTCGGATACTCAAGAGCGATTCGAAATTTGCAAACTTATATCATCTTTTGCACCGGTGAAATATCTGACAACCACCACTATTAAAAGACGAGTATACTACTGTGCTACAGTTCGCTCTGTCCTGCTATATGACTGCGCGATTTGGTGGCTGAAAGTGGAAGATATGATAAGATTAGAGGTTTTAGATCATAGGTGTCTTGACAGGACTGCTCAAGTGTAGTGTAGTCATCATGTGAGGCATTCTGAGGTTAGGTGAAGGATACTGGGTAAATAAGCTAAGTCAGTCGATTAAATTTTGAACCTTCATCGACTTAAGTGGCTTGAACAGTCACTATGCATGCCGAACCACTGCCGATTACAACGTGTAATGTTAGAGGTTGAAACAGGTTGGAAAAGAATTCAAGATGGCCAAACCAATGCGTGACAAAAATGCATGAAGCCTCAAACTGTTGCTTTGAGCCATGTAGTGAGGTGTAGGCTGTACGGCCGGGGTTCTCCAGACGATAGAAAATAGTGGTTGAGAACTCTTGATGAAATGACTGAAAATCAGTCACTAGCCTTTATCTTCAAATTGTTTCTTCCCTCGTACAACTATGTTCACTTGGATATCACACCTTTTCTTTCCATGAATTTTCTTTAAAAGTAGCTAAAACCAGGCCGCTTAGAAGAAGGATTACCTTCTCAAACTTCTAAACGAGGGCGCCATAACGTTTTGCAAGAACTGGTGAGGAGTCATGCTCCTATCCCTCTCCACCCCAAGCAAAATGTTAAGCCGGATCATCCTGGAGAGACTAAAGGATACTCTACGTTCAAAATTACGACCAGGACAAGCTGCCTGGCTAACTTCAGGATAAAGAAACTATATGCAGATCAAATTGCAACACTACGCTACGCTACACATCATCATAGAACAGACCATAGGATGGCAGTCAACTGGATCTTCATCTCAACTTCAACGACTTTGAAAAGGCATTCGACAGTGTCGACTGAGAAGTAATTTGGCAGACAGCTGCTTCAACACTATGGTTTTAGAGCCACTAACCTTTATCAACCTCATTCCACAGCAGCTATATGCCATGTGAGGATGCTACATGTTAAGTGATTCACAATGGAAAGCTGAATGATGCGTTTGAAGTGAAGACAGGGGACAGGAGTAAGACAAGACGAGGTTGCAGCCTACCACCACCGATCATCTTCCTGATTGTGGTGGACTAGATCATGCAGGGAACTGTGAGGAGTGAGAAGATGGACATACACTGGCTGGATCGATGAAGAGACCCTGGGAGATTCGGATTTCGCCGGCGATGATGATTTATGTCTAATGTCTTGTCGCAGAAACTCGAAGATCTACAGGCGAAAACTAACAAGTTGGCAGAAGAGGTGAGGCAGAGAAGATGGGACTTTAGGTGAACGTAGAGAAGACAGAGGGGATGCAGGTATCCTACAGACAACAGCAGCAACAACAACAACAATGAGCACCAATCACCATGAACGGGAGAAGTCTAAAGGAAGTTGTCTGTTTCACCTACCTAGGCAGAGCAGCATCGTTTCAACTACAGGCGGCACAGGCACAGGTAAGGATGTGAAAGACAGGATGGAAAAGGCAGCAAGACAGGGCTTCCTTCATTAGTCTGAAATCAGTGTGGAGATCTACTGCACTGCACTACACTACACTGCACTCATCATAAAGCGTGAACAAGATCCGAACTTTTAACACTAATGTCAGACAAGTCAGTCAGTGCTTCTATGTGATGGTTGAGAGACTTGGCACGTTACGAAAAGTATTTCCAACAAACTGCTGACGTACATAAACAGCTGCCACATACGCTGGCTCGTTACTGACACTGAAGATCAGATGGTCAGAATTATAAGAATAGGCAACAAGGAACTCTGGTTGTCTGTCTGTCAACGAACCAACCGACAACCTTTCACCCAACAAATATGCAGAAAGAAGTAGGAAGTGGAGATGAACTAGATTGGGTATACACTGAGAAGACCGACTGGGGACACCACACCTCAGGTCAGTTTCTCGAGTGGAATCGAAAGGGGAAATGACGAGTTGAGTGTCCGAGGGTGACATGGAGGAGATGGTGCAAGGAACAAATGAAAGCGTGTGGGCAGTCTTGGAGTCAGGTTGAAAAGACTGCGGAGAACAGAGTGCAATGGAGGCGTGCTGCTGAAGCCCTATGTTCCACTAGGAACCCTAGGGAAAAACAATGAAACTTGGCCACTGCAGTGGAATGTAATTCCATTTTGGATTTATTTATCTGATATAGACAGTATATAGTGATATAGTATTATTTACTTGATGACATTTCGAGCATAAATTATTATGTCTCATAATCATATCAACGTAATCACACTAATTTCTGCATTTGATTTTTATAGTCCAGTCACCCACCTGATAATCTTTGTTTCTATCGGTAGTAACATTTTCCATATCTCTGGTATAGGTGTTGCGTCATTCGTATTCCACATGTGTTCGATATTGGCTGATTTGATGAACATAGATTCTGTAATCAATCTCTCCCTCTTATCACCTAATTATATTGGACTTCAGTAGAGTGGTTTTATCCCACTCTATTGCGTGCTTGTGTGCATTGTATGCCTTCTATGCATTGTAATAACCGAGGTTTTCTCTCTGGATTACTGATCTTGTTGGGGTTTGCCATTCCATATTTAGCTAAACTTCTATGTTCGGTTAACCTATCTGACCCCAATAACTTATTTTCACCAATGTACTTGACCTCGCAGTCATTACATGGAATTTGATAGATTAGATTATTTTGCTTAGTTGGTTCTATCGGATCCTTAAGCTAACCTACAAAGTTGATCTCTGAGCGAGTTTGTAGGTTTAAATGCCACAGTAACTCCAGCTTTGTAGAGGATCCAACATAAGGTTTCTGATGTTCCTTCCTTATAGGGTAATACGATAGATGCTTGGAACTTATTTCTAGTCGTCTTGTCGCTATTATTCATTCTCATATTAGTGTTATTTTCTCGTTTTTTTTTGTGTCCGTACGAATTTCATAATAAACTGTAGAGGATAATTATTAACTGTTAGTGATTCTTGTATGCGTTTCAGTTCCTTATTTAGGTCCTTGCACTGACTAGTCAGTTTTTTACCTTTATCATTTAGACATTTGAACAAGACTGCCTTAATTGACTGACATTCGATGGGATGATTTGAAGTGTAGATACCTGTTAGAATGTGTCGGTTTTCTGTAGACGATAGTAGGAAGCAGAAATATCTTGGTTTCGACAGGCCTCAAATCAGTGACTTGATATTGGGTAATGATGATTGAATATGGAATGAAAATCTGTTACAGTATCAAAAATACAAATTTATCAAACCATAACTATCGCAGAAACATATAATAAACAGTGGAAAGGTTTGAAACACACTTCTTGTTTAAGTCGTTCAATTTCTTCACGATCCTTCTTATTTGGCATAGTTCTTAAAGCACGTCGATATTCTTCTAAAACTCTTTTTTCCTTCCTGATAACCAAACAGAAGAAAGTTTTATATAAGAGGAATTTTTAACACAAATATTATGTAAGCTACATGCATTATTGACAAGGGGATAGCGAGAAAAGACTAGTCATGGCAGCGACCAATCAAAATGTGCTTTATGTCATCAGTATACAATTCGAGAGATAGATAGACAGACAGACAGTGAATCAGCCAATCAATAGGATTATTTTGAACAGCGAACTACCTATATATTAGCTGTTTTTCTTTGGATTGGTCTTCGGTCTTTCGACCCCAAATACACGTCCTTCATGTCTTCTCGATTAATTAGTCGGGTCCGGAATCAACTAGGAATTCGTTGAATGTTGGTGGCTGACACTCGATATCAGTGCATCCTTAGCGGTCATATAGCAGTTTCCGAACACAACATTATTCCCTTATTACAATGAGCGTTAACTGTGATTACAGTAGTCAACTCTGAAACCATTGTGGCACAGTTTGAACTTATTGTGAAATTTCTATCCATAATTTTTCAAGCAAAAACGATTAGTTCATTTTGACAAATAACCAAATATTCATGTGAAGTGTGAAATCTAAGCACACAACCCTTATCTAAAATATAGTGCAACAATACTAATGTGTAATGAACTGTAAAATCTCGAAACGTATGCTACCTGCGACCTTATACACTATCAAAGGTATTCTGCAGGAAGCGTATCAACGAAATAAACAGCAGTGTCATTATAAATAGAACAGATTATGAGTAGGAAAGGAAGTAAACACACATCCTAATGACCATACACTTTAATTGATGAACAGAAAACACCCACAGAACTAAACAAAATGGAAATGAACACGAATACGCTGCTTCATGAACTTCCATTCCACTCAGACCAATTGTGGAGTTTATCAACACATAACCTTTTAATACATCTGGCTTCAAATGCTTAAACCCCTTCACATGGACTCAGAATACACAATAAAGGACTCACTTGATTTAAATACAAAATTTCTACACTTAAAATTGAAGAATACGAAATTATGGCTATAATGGCTAGGACACCAATCACGATATAAAGATATCCACTGATTACCAGTGACATCATGAAGACCCCGAATTTCTGCTACAGACTACTTACCTCACATATAAAGGAGAACTATACAGGTAAACTGACGGTGTTGCTATACGTTCACCTGCTTCACCAATACTAGTTAACCTATTTATGAGTAGATTTGAAGAAAGTGTCTTCACTCACTTACTAAACTCAGACATTTCACTGAGATACCTTGATGAGACATTCGTCATCTTTAAAACACAACTTACAGCAGACATTCTTTGATCAGCTGAACTCTAGATCTCCCAGTGTATCAAGTTCAACCGAGAAGAAGACACAGATAAGGAGGGGAACTACCTTTCCTTGATTGTCTTGTTAAATGGAGAGAAAATAGTCATTTAGGTATAAGGAAAGCAACACATGCGAACAAATATTTACATTTCAACTCATCACATCCAAACACCAGTGTGAAAGTTTCTCTCGCCTCCAGTCTCCTAGGCAGAGCACACACACACCCACTTTAATAACGCGAGTTAAGGAATTAAAATATATGAACAAGATACTTAAAATAAATAATTATCCAATGGAAATTCATTCACAAAATAGAAAATAACAATAAATTACTCTGTAAAACTACTCCTTAATCATGCATCTCAACACAAAGATGAAATTAGGAGAGTGTTGAACAAATGAAACATCATCAGAGTATTCTACAGAACATCAAACACATTCCAGAACACCTTAGACCATGTGAAGCATGAGTTCCCTCTAGATTCACAATCTAATTGTGTTTATAAAATAAAATACTCAGTCTATGGTGTAAGATACATAGGACAGACTTGCCTTGAAATAAAAATGAGGAAAAATGAACACCGAAGAGCTTCCACTCGACCTCCTAGAAATCTAGTGGAATTAAAAAGCAACTTGAATAGAACTTCAGCCATAGCTGTACATGTTATAATCTCGGGTCAAAATGTCGATTTTGACAATATAGAAATTATTCAGAAAGACTTTAGGAGTTATAAAGAACGTCTCTTCACATAAACTGCAATCAAAATTGTCTGATTGTCTAGGAAGGAATGAAGGAATAAAACGTAGTTTGACCTGGTCTCAACCCATCTCCATATACTGAAATAACCAGGAGATAAGAACTATAAGCACACATGTGTACATAGAAATCTCAATCTGTAATTTATACACTCATCTACAAACCTACTATTTAATTGGGTTATTCAACTGGTTACATTTCCTCTTCTAGGCTTACCAATACATGCAAATAATAATAATAATGCCTTCATTGTGAAAGGCATTTTTCGGGAATACTCTACAGAATTTTCAACATGTCATTATCTAGCATCGATTGGACAGAGACAGTGTACATGTATACAAAGTGAAATGAAACAAGTAGAAATTACGCATAAGAATATTCACTCTGCCTACCATTTTCTTCACAATACACAGTCAATTTAGGTAGACAATCACACTCGTAATTAGATTCATAATACATAAATAGTAACATGCTGTGTACTCATTAATTAGTTTGTTTTTAAAAACACAAGTTGATTAGTTAGTTCATTTGTAATACTTTCTCTGTCACACAGCAGATAAGCTAAATAACCTAAGGCATTGAAGAGTTTACATATTTTGTAGTACACGTGCATAAAGTCTTATATACTTACTCCACGTCTATCCAGATGACCGACATGCAGACAGCTTTGAGTGAAGACGATGCTGGTTATCTGATAAAATAACACCTGTCAGATGTTTACATGAATTCAGATATTTGTCCACAACTATTTTAACTAGTAGGTTCACAGGTACACCACTAGTTCTGCTGACAATCTTCAAAGTTCTACACAACACACATCATAGTCCTTTTTCAGCAACCCAGGAAAAAATAAAGGGCAGCAAAAGAGAAGAACAGGCAAAATTCAGGAGTTTATAAAACACAGAAGGAGAGGTTGAGTTATACCAGCAGATACTCTCAACTTCCTAATATACGAAGTTGGGTGGAAAATTCTATTGTAAATAAGTGAGGTAAGGTAAGAGAGGACCAGTCTAGGTCTGGAGAAAAACATATACGGTGAGATAAATCACACATGTAACATTCTCTAATGCCCAACGATCAACACAACAGGAATCATGAGAACCAAGCAGTTTGCGTAGGTTATGTTCATGTCTTAAACTAAAGTTCATGGTGTGACATTTTGAGGAATTAAGCATAAGACCATTCACGAAGGACCATCGTCTAACAGTAGATAGGAAGTCATTCAGTTGGGAAGAATCTGTTGAAGAGGAAACTGTTAAGTCGTCAGCATACTTGATGAGATTGATACCAGTTGAAGATGGTAGGTCATGCAGAAGGAATGAGAAAAGACATAGCGAAAGGATGACTCCTTGGGGAACAACAATCACAGTAGGGAATGAGGTGGAGCGCTTCCCTCTGTAAACAGTATGTTGTTTCCCAGTAGACAAATAGGGGTGCAGCCAACTGATGATCCAGGACTCAGTAATTGTCCCGGTTAGCTTATCCAGCAAAATAGGTCTTGGGACAGCATTAAATGCTGAAGTGTAGTCTCAAAAGGCCCACGTGACATTCTTAGCATTTTTATCAAGACTACGAGCAATATGGTGATATAAAAAATTGGTGGCATACAAAGTCAAAACATTCGACCTTTAGAAGACGTCACGAAGTGAATACATCTGCACGCTTACCACTGATTTCTATCGTCCACGGGATCCCAAGCCAGGTAGTCTACACTATCCTACAACAACGAAGGACTAAATGGATTAATGACATGTTTGTGTCTGGCCACCCCGGACTCTTTTTCAACCTAATCCACCTTCTTCTAGCACTACACTTCAATGTAGGCAGTGGTTCAGTATGCGTAACCCATAACCAAGCCACCTCTCAGTTGGTAAACGTTCACAAGCACATCGACTGACTTGCCTTCCTTGTCTACTACCTTTAGTTCAACCTCGATACTGCTTACACAATGATTCCAGTATGTGTGAGTAATGCTGACAAAAACTTCATAAATATTCTCTACTTTCAACGATAATGTCTTATAGCCACCAGGAATCACATGAGACAGGATAGAATTCAAGTCAGAAGGTCAAAAACTAGGCAGTTAACCATACATTTGAACAGTCAGTTGCCTGAAATAACTACTGACTGACTGACTTAATTCCACAATTAAACTGGTTATAATTCATAAATATTGTAAATAAACGCATAACTCACTTCAATTTCTTCATTTCAGCTTCTTTATACTCCTCAAATTCTTTTTGTTCTTTCATTTTATTGTTAATAAAACAATTTTTTTCTAATTCTATCTGCCGTAAATTCTTTGAAGAAAGATATCAAAAATATCTGAATTACATACATAGTTGAAGTCAATATAAAATGATCACATACTTCATCATCATCATCACCAATATCAATATAGGATCAGGCACTACTGAGTAACGGTTCGAGTTGCCACACCACATATCACTACATCAAGTAAAAAGGCAGTCAAGTGGAAGATGAAGGAAACAAAACTCAGGCAAAAGAAATATACTCAAAGAGAGAAAGGAAGAATGATAAAATAGCGAGAATCGGTATAGCATAGTTAAGATGAAAATAATGTGTGTATACATCTGAGCCATATCCCCTGCAGTCAGTCTCCAACCACTAGTTTCTCTTGTCCCACCGACACCAACCACCCAGTCTGCATCAATCCCCACATTGGCTCAAACCAACAGTCAAACACTTCATACATTGATGCAATGTTTTAGTCTGACCGAGAGCCTCCACCCTTTTTCCACTCTGAACCTACTTCTCAACCAACATTGTGTGACGAGGCAGACCACGACTAGGCATAACTAACACGTGTCCCAAACACCGATCTCACGCAATCAAGGTTCACAGCCGTGTCAACTGACTCCCTAAAACTCTAATCTTGACTTCTGCATTACTCACTTTTATGGTGACACTACGGAATACAGTCTATACTAATAAGGCAACGGTGATCAAACACCTGAAGCCTTCTCATGTCTTCCACCTTCAGTGGCCATGTTTCACAGCCATACAGTAGAACACACCGGATTGTTGTGCAGTACACGCGACCCTTATTATGCAAACGGATATCATGGCGGCGCCATAGGTGGTGTAAATTGGCAAAAGCCAACTGAGCCTTTCGTATCCGTGTAGAGATTTCATAGGCAACTGAGCCACCAGGGCTGATCCTACTTCCGAGGTAAATGAAGTGGTCGACACACTCAAACACTACAGTCGCTATTGTTAATTTCATCACCAAAAGTACCGTTACACCTACTAAACAAAAAGAACCTATTTCAAGTTGGTATTCATTACGAATTGACATCAGTTGGAGAAGCATTGGAAACTTTGGAACACCGGAGAGGTGTTTCCTACTAGTATGAGACTCCTCAGCAGTGCGTACCCATGACCCCACCAGGGGTCGAACCCAAGATCTCCAGGTTCTGCGGTCAGTACTTTACTGTTATTTAGCCGTTAGGTGGGAATCCACTGGTTGACATTCTCCTATTTCTTTCAGTACATGAATGTGTTCTAAACATCCGGTGAAAACTATCAAAAGTCGGTCAGACTATTCCATATTAGATTGTTTGTTTGATGTGGCATATAGTGAAGCAGTGATGGTGGTTTGGTGTTCTCTGAGCTTTGACATTTTGTCAGCGAACATTTAATCACCAGGCTTGGTGACAAGATCAACGCGAAATTTTGCACACAGGTACATCGGCTCAAATTGCCACAATTAATAGTAATAGTCAAAAACCGACGGAGATTGATATCGAAGTAGACAAAGTGGTGAGAGAGAATAAACAATCTGAAGCTAAAGGTTAGTGCAAATATTCAAGCTTTCAAAAAATGTCAAGGAGTGAATACATCTGCACCAATGTGACCGGCTTTTCGACGTATCACCAACAATCATCAAACACTGATTCCTTTCATCTCAGGCCAACAGTAAGAGACCTCATCAACTGATGAAACGTCGCGGTCGCGTCATCCTGAAACCTCTTTCAAACTAATCTAACCTCCACCAGCATGGCGCGTCGAGGTAAGCGGTGGCTCGGCATGCGTAGTACATATCCAGGCCGTCTCAACCGACCAAGGTTCACAACCTCATCGACTGTCTTATCTATCTTGCTTCGTACCCTTGCCCCAACTTCAACATTGCTCACATGGTAATCCACCCAAAGGCCAGCAACCCAATGAAGATACTTATGATCAAAACCCTATAATCCCTTCATGTCTTCTCCTTTTAACGGCCATGTCTCACAGTCGTGCAGCAGGACAGAACGGACTGCAGTGAAGTATACTCACTCTTTGATAGATTGTCGTATCAATTACTTTGGGTGATGTCACGAAAATCCAATGACATTTGCTAACCCTCAAAAGTAGGTTAAAAATTGTCTTTACCTCTGTTTCTACACCTGACTGAAATCACACCAGGCTTAATCAGAAAGATAATTGCAGTCATATTTAGATCAATGCTTAGATGACTTCCCCCTGAATATGTAAATGGAGTCCTCATCTTCTAATCCAGTACAGACAGGCTTTACTGTTGTCGGTTTCCTGTGACTAGTAAGACGCAGGCATGCATACCACCGTACTAGCGCTTCATTGGAGTCCAAACTGTTACTCCAGAAAGAGTGACAACTCTCCTCCGATCCTCTCCAACGATCCCTGGCTTATAGTAAAGTGATCTGTGTATGTCCATCGTTGATTTGAAGTCAGTGGACGCCATGTGAGATAGTGTCTCTCCTTGTATCTAAAGTAAGTGCTGACCAGAAACATGTGATTGTTGAGATAAACTTGCAACACACGATCATCCTTGTCAGTTCTTCGGCATAGAATTCCACGGATATCCCCCCCCCCCAAATGCCATTCCGATCAGGCTCAACTTTACTTCTTGAGCGCTAAGGTCACCTACCATTATGACTACATCTGAACGTTTTGCTCTATATAGTAAGGTTGACAGCTTCTCATAGAATTCATCCCTCGCATCATCCAAGCTGCATTTGGTGGGTGCGTAGGTGGAGATTGCAAATAGGCATCGGTTGGTCTCATATTCCTTCCTAGTTCCTTCACATCCATTTAGTCGAACAGCAATTAAACAGCTGTTCACTGTAATCCAGTCGAGGAGTGCATTTTATGCTCTACAACTCAATGCTATGCCTACTCCAGTGAGTCCACGAAAGTTAGCCATTGGGTCTTCGAATACTCTTAAGGTGAATTTCGCAGATTCACCACTTCGGTCAGGTGAGGTCAATTTAATGACCACACTATGGTTCTGTATACGTGTCTCAGAGACATAGCATACACCCATGGTTAGATATTCTAGAATTTAGTGACTGATGTTTGGTGTCCGATTTTGCATAGGGTTTGGATGTTGAAAGTTCTGACATAAAATCGATGACGGGGTCTTAGCTGACTAGGAATAAGGTCTCAATAGTTTTGATGGTTGGCAGTGGTTGCAGAGTGAGAGGTTGGGTAAGGTGTAAGAGGCTTAATATTAGTATCAGGGGGTGAAGGGAAAGGAAGAGACAGAGTTGAAGAGGAGAGATTATGTTTGATTGGGTCTTGTGTACCAAAAAACCGAGGGACGTGAAGGAGTGTGATATGTTATTGGCAGACTCTTTCTAACCCCACTTTCCATTTCGAAAGCAGCATCAGCTTGTCATTGCTAGTCATTCAAGGTAGACACCTTACTGCTGTCATACACCATCCGGCTAGCAGCAGTACGATTTCTCCTTCAGACGCCCATTATACCTGATTAGTTCCCACTACAATAGTGACTGCATTTTGTCTTACCTCTATTCAACAGACCTTTCTGGCATGGTAACAACCCGAGCGAACTGGTGTTTTAGCCAGCATAGCTCGTTGGGTCACTGTGATACACAAGCCCGACCACCACATGAAGGTAGCAGCCATCGGTAGCACGTGGTGACGAAACGTTCACAACAAAATATCAACGCTCATCCTAAGCATTTCCGATATCCTGGACATGTGTTGCGCATGCCAAACCTCCGTCTACCTCGACGTACCACGCTCGCAAAAGTTGGATTAAGGTTGCAAGAGGGTTCAAGGTGGTTGGACTAAGACGTGTCACCAGTCTATGAAGTCTCTGATTGTTGATCTGAGACGTATAGGGAAGTTGTAAAGTGCTTGGATGGAGTATCTAAAATGATAGGAATTAGTGGTCGAAGACTTTTGGTGACATGGCTTAAAATTGGTCATAATAGTGCAGTTGAATCCACTCTTTAACGTCGTTTAAAGCTTGAATGTTTTAACCAACCTACTTTATATTCTACTGTGAAGTATAGCAAGATTTTAGCCTGATTTTGTCTCTCTGTCCATTTCAGATATGTGCTAATTAGTAAAGTCAGTGATACTTTGTTTCAACTAATAAATAATAGTACACAATGAGCGCAGGTCATAGTCAAATACATTAATCTGGATTGGGGTTCTATGAATTATTTAAGTGAATCAAGTTTCATTTATCCATCTTGTAGTATAATAAATGATGAATAACAACTTGAAATGTCTCTAAATCTTCACAACTCCCTCAAAATCCAATTGAACTGGTGCTCATTGGTGACTAGCTTCCAGAGGTATTCTCGAAGTTTCAATGAGGAGTCGTAATCAGTGGGGGCAAAAGGCTGATGGTCGTGCGAATAGTTACTCAACAATGGCATTGCGTGGCGGTTGCGCTATATCTTGAGCTAACAGAAGTTGGAAATATGGACCAGTGGATTCCGATGACCCAGTGACTCAATGGTAACGTTTGACCACGGGACCTGAAGGTCGTGGGTGTGCCCTGCTCAGGAGTCCTATACTAGGACGAAATAGCTGTCCAGTGCTCCCAGGTTTCTTTTATCCCTTCACCTGATGTCAGTCTACGATGAATAACAACTTGAAATATTTTTAAATCCCCACAACTCCCTTAAAATTCAATATTAATTAACAAGATTTTTATATGACAAAGTTTAATGGATACAGTCGAATAATAAACTTACATTTTGAACTTCTATTTTCAGTTTATTTAAATTAGCATTTTCCACTTTAAAACGTTTAATTTCTATTTCTAGTTGATTAATCCAATGTTTCAATACACTTTGATCATTTCCAACAGGAGCAACAGCACTAGTTTCTTGTCCAATAGAATTATTCTATCAAGAAAGATAATAAAGTATAAGTGAATTTTATATTGAATAAAGTTTTAAAATTATACAATTCATATATACTAATGTTACTGTTTCCCGTAGAATCTACAGTTTGAAATATACCCACTAACGATATACATACCGACTTAAGCAGTAGATAATAAGCTAATGTCTACTAGATGAGATATTATTTGGTTGATGGAGTGGGGTTCGAACCTATGACTAATTGATTGAAAGTAAGAGTAATTAGACGAATGATTCAAGCAACATACTAAGCTATACACTGAGATATCTGCTAACAAAAACAATTCTATCAGAATAAATGTTGATATTATAGGGATTCTTTAACAAATTCATTGAAATATGGATTTATCTTCAATGGAAACTGATAAAGTTTAGTCACTTCAACTTTAAATTGATAAGCTCATGTAATTGATGACTTAAAGTTGTACATTTATCGATATTCCTCTAAACTGTTTATCAATATCAACATACAACTAGGTAGTACTATGCAAAGTTTCAAGTAACCATACTTAATATCATCATATGAAGTAACAAAGGAATAAGATGAAAGATGAAGAAATATAGAAGAATTGGTTAAGAGCAGTATAAAGTAGGAAAGAAGAGGAAAGAAGAATAAAAAAAATGCTTAAGTGTGAGTGGATACATCCGCGACAATAAGAACACTTTCTAGGCATATCACCTAGAGTTTATAACCACACTAACAAGCTAGTCTGTATCTCCCAACAAGGTTCAAACCAACTTTGTCTGACTGCTCCAAGCCTTTTTCTAGTCTGAACCTATTTCACCTAAAAATACACGACAAGGCAAATGGTGAATATGCATGCATAGAATATGTTCCAACCATCTCAGTCGATGAAGGTTCACAACTACATCAACTGACTTATCTCTCCTCTCTAAACTCTACGGTCCAGTTCTGCGTTACTCACGTGGTTACACCATGAAACATGGCATATAACCACAAACGCAACAGTTGTGAAACACCTCAAGACTTCTCATGTCTTCCATCTTTAATGACCATATTTTACAACCAAACATTAGAACAGAGTGAGTGAACTGTGACACTGTACACTTGACCATTAATAGACAAATGGATAGCGTGGCGGTACCACAGAAGGCATAAGTTGTCAAAAACCAATTGAGCCTTTTATATTCGAGCAGATTCATCGTCGGCCACAGACCCATCAGGGCTCGGTATAGCATAGTTAAGATGAGAATAATGTGTGTATACATCTGAGCCATATCCCCTGCAGTCAGTCTCCAACCACTAGTTTCTCTTGTCCCACCGACACCAACCACCCAGTCTGCATCAATCCCCACATTGGCTCAAACCAACAGTCAAACACTTCATACATTGATGCAATGTTTTAATCTGACCGAGAGCCTCCACCCCTTTTCTAGTCTGAACCTACTTCTCAACCAACATTGTGTGACGAGGCAGACCACGACTAGGCATAACTAACACGTGTCCCAACCACCGATCTCACGCAATGAAGGTTCACAGCCGTGTCAACTGACTCCCTAAAACTCTAATCCTGACTTCTGCATTACTCACATGGTGACACTACGGAATACGGTCTATACTAATAAGGCAACGGTGATCAAATACCTGAAGCCTTCTCACGTCTTCCACCTTCAGTGGCCATGTTTCACAGCCATACAGTAGAACACACCGGATTGTTGTGCAGTACACGCGACCCTTAGTAGACAAACGGATATCATGGCGGCGCCATAGATGGTGTAAATTGGCAAAAGCCAACTAAGCCTTTTGTATCCGTGTAGAGATTTCATAGGCAGCTGAGCCACCAGGGCTGATCCTACTTCCGAGATAAGTGAAGTGGTCAACACACTCAACCACTTCTTTCTCTGTTGTTAACTGTGGCACAGCTGAAGACCAATTATGAACCAAACATTTGCATTTCAGTGGTGAGAACCGCATCCCAAACATTCTCAGATTCCCACTCAAAGTGTTCAGAAGACTCTGCATCTTGTCAGCGTCTTCCCTTAAAAGGACTGTCATCTGCATATTCTGGGCCTAGCGAAAATTCTTCACCGATTAGGTCAACGTCTGTGTAACCTGGTAATTAGAGGGAGACCTCCATAAGAATATCTATGATGAAATTGAATAAGAATGGAGACAATGGGCATCCTTGACTGTACAGTGACAGAGTATTATTCATTGGATAACGTCCCGAGTACAACTTATTGCTAATAACCATATCAAATTAAGTGAAGTTTCCCCCCAACATTGATACAATCATGTTCAGCTAAAGTTGCGCAACTGTTCTTACATAATAGTTCATGCAACAACAGCAAGGATTTATTTTTACAGACTTTATTATTTTACTAACTTGACTGATGTTCGATAGTTTGAGGTTATTGACAGGAATTCCTACTCAGTGTAGGCTTTGGGCTTATTGATGTTCTTTAACAAGGTGTATCTGCAGCTTCAAGGAAAGTGACCACCCCCCCCCCCCCCCCCCCCGGAGGAGATTCGAATCTACGCCATCCAGTGCTGTAGTCTGAAGGTTTCCATTATTATTATAACCAGTATTATTGTCATTACTACTATTATTGTCACTATTGTCAATTTCTTTCTTACTTGTTGTTTACCCTACGGGACGTTGTCTTTGTATTCTTTTTTATATCTTCAGTTTTACACTACTATTATTGAGTAGCATAGTTAATGTTTCCCGATAACGCTACCTTATTGACATCTTGAACCGTTCATTCTGTTCAATCATATCTTGTTCACTACTTAACATATCTAGATATTAGTAACTTTCCCAGTTCATGATCTTGTTGTAATTTCTTCCCCTGTTCCCTGATTCTTTTTTCTACCTTGGACATTTTTTTATTTTGTTTCATTGTCAGAACTCCCACGAGTCTTTCAATAGCCACTTCTGTTGGCTTGGAGACAGCTTTGCTACTTTTACTGTGGACATGCTCTCTGTAAAGTGCTTTGATAATGATAAACCCTCAGATACCTAACGATCGGAGGTTTGTATTTTACTAGCCAATATTATTTATTAATAAAGAACCGTATTGCAGACAAATTCTGTTTTTTGGGGTTTTAAGTCTGTCTCGAGTGTTTGGTTTATTGTCTGGAATTCGTTTACTTGCTTTGGCTCTGAATTTCTCGGAGTCCCAAATAGGATGAAATGCGCATAGTGGATTCCACTGCTAGCCACTATTCCTCTTTACTATGGTTAAAACAAAGGTAATATCGAGGCATCCGCACAGCAGCCCATATGTCAATAGAGACCGATCAATTGGGTCCAATCAACGACGGTATAATACAAGCAATTATACTATTACTACTACTATTATTATCACCATTGGTATTATTGTCATTATTGTTATTAGTACCACTACAACTGTCATTATTATCGTTTTTGTCATTATCACCATTACTGTTATTACTATCGTTACCCATTATTATTATTATTATTATTATTATTATTATTATTATTATTATTATCACTACCATTATTAGCGATATTGTTGGAACCTAAACTTGGTACAACAAGGACACCAAGAAATGCGCTACACAAAATAATACAACAGCATTAGGAAAACATAAAACGATGGGGAGCGGATGAGTAAGAAAGAAAAGCACAATAAGAACAGTATGATTAAAAGGGTAGCTCAGTAAGGTACATTCGAAACAAAACATTCATTGCTTTTCAACAGTAGAAGAAAGCTACAGCGTGACCACCACTGGTTTATATTCTGAGCCATATGTGAACTTCTCAAGCCACTAAGTCGCATGATCTCTTCAACCCTACCCAAGAGTTCGTGATAGACCAACAGATGCTAACTCGATACAACTATCCGTCATCCCACGGCGCCACATCATACACTGACCACGCCTCCGCTTCTCTCATCTAGTCCCAAGGTTAGCAAACAATGAACATATCCAAGTCATCATAGCCAGTGTTTCCAAATGACTCCATCATGCACAAACATACGCTGTCGTATCTCAGAATTACTTCCATGGTGTTGCCACGACATACGAGCGATCCTAAAGAGATAACGATAACCGAACACACGAAGTCGTCGCACATCCTCAGATCGCACAAGCTAGGTTTCGCAGAAGTAGAGCAGAACTTCTCGCACTGAAACGTTTTAACCCCTACCTTTTACGGTCAGAACAGGGTCGTGACAGCACCGAAGGTGGATCAGATTGACATATGCCACTCTGGTTTTCGATATGTGGCGAGAAATTTCATCACACACCTCCACCAGCATTCACAAAACTGCCCAGATGCACAAACTTTCTGACCACTTCCAACAGCTCACCACCGAGAACAAATGCAGAAACAGGCTCCTGCCAGTCTTGCAAAAGTACTTTGCACTTCGATGGTGCAATCGCATACCATACTTACAGACTCTAATAGCCAACTGATAAAGTGCGATTTAAGTAGCCAATGGGTTATCACTTAGTAACATGATATCGTCCTTATACTCAAGGTTGAGCAGTCGTTCTCCGGGTAGTAGATCTACACCACCATTACGCACATCCTTCAGAGCTGTCTCAAGAATGTCATCAGTGGCACTGCTGATGTGGAACAGTAGAGACAGGTGGTTTTGTGTCCTTGCTCCAGGGGTTTCAGGATGCTTAAAAAACTTCTCTGACATGCCCCTCTCAAACAGACAATTCTGGAGTAAAGCTTTGTCCAAAGAATCCAATACAGCCCTTACATTAATAAATACAACAAATGTTGGCCCACAATACATATGGCAGAGGGTAAACACATGGTTAGTGCATCGATGACCTGAACGAAACACCGTCTGATACCCCCAAATCATTTTCTCACATGTTTTACCAAGTCTGCAAAGTATGAAAGCAGCCAATATTTTAGACGCGACTGGTAACAGACTAATACTCCGATGATTGTCACATACATTAGGCGGACTACTTTCACAGATGAGCACAACGATAACTTCAGTTCAGAGTGATGGAATACTCTCAGTCTACCATTCCTTCTCAAACGATCTGGTCGCGTCCCTGACTAGAGTCGTTCCTCCACCCTTAGAGAGGTAGGGATAGGTTGTCTAGGCCAGGTGCCTTGTGACGTTTCAGAACTTGCAGTTCCTCATGGATCTCCACTTCGTCAGGTAGGTCAATGTTAACTGAACATGGAACACGATCCACTGAAACTGAGGAGACTGGAGCAGTGACTAGCTAAACCGCCGGTCAAAGTGCTCTGCCTAGCGTTCCAGGCGTCTCTGAAGATTGTTTATCGGCGTACCGCCTAGATCACAGACCGTCTCACTGACATCAGGTTTCTTGCTGCCAGTGGCTCGGATGATCTGGGATTGCTTCCAACTATTACCAGATACATCTCCTTTCATCTCACTAGCAAGTTCTGAACACCAAACATCGCGGTCATCGAGTAAACATTGTGTAATCCTTTTTGTAGGGAACTTACACAAAACTGTTGTACTCGCTATCCACCGAAATGGTCCGATGGGCGTCAATAAATTGCAGGGAGCTCGCAGGCACCTAGTGTTTACTAGCAGGACGTTCTTCCAAGCCACAAATCGCTTCACTCGCCATTTTCATGGCGTCTTGCAAGTGCATCTAATGCCCGTCTACACTTTCTGGAGGAAAGGCGGCTAGCCTTATAATCTAGCTCCGGTCGTTATTTAGCTGCAATACCAGGTGCAACTAATTGGCTTGCAATGACCTGTTTAGGATGACGACTTTGATGACCACCAAAACACCAAATGAGTTTACCACACAATAAAGTACAATCAGAGTTCAGACAAGTACTCCACATCATCGGTAGCTGATTGCAATATGATCTATTTGAATCTAGGCTTGAATGGCAGAGGGATGGGGCCAAGTAGGAGTACAATGGTGACGGCTGCGCTGGAAGTTGGTGCTGGCTAGAAATAGGTTGTGATCTGCGCAAAGCTAAAACCATAAGGGACTTGATATCCCCCTTACAGATTTCAACCCACATCCCCCAATTTTGTAATCAGAGAGACGTTATCACTGAGCTGCCGATGCAATGATTGACCTCGTATAGGGCTGGATTATATATAGTAACTGAATTCATATTACCTAGTCCAAAGTGCTAACCGAATTCTATCGACCATTTTTCAATCTGGTCACCATACTGAAAAACCTCAGCACTACCCTTCCATCTTACTACTATAGACACTTTCATGCATCCCTGTCATTCCTGATGCTGATTTCTCCTCCTCACAGTGATGATATGAAATTTCATCAATTAGAATCGTTATGCAATATGGTGCCAACTTCAACATTTCCCATTATTTATCTGTAAGAAAAGACCTAGAAATATCGTAAAGTTCAGTTGACTTAATTATGAAAAAATATATTAAAAATGATGTGAAACATACTGGCTCTTCTTTGAAACTTCCAACAAAATCATCAGTAGATTTGACTAGATCATCTTCATCATGCGGCACAACAGATATCTTTTTCTGTTTATCAGTTTCTGAGAATGTTTCATAAGCATTAGGAGCTCTAACAACAGAAATCATTCCTTGAAGTTTTTCAGCATTATGATAAGGTAAATATGAATTGGTTTCGTTTGAAGCAGATAGTGATGTGGGATGAAGTACAATCGATTCATTTGGTTGATTTACGAAATCACCTATTGAGAAAAAATGTACAGAAAATTAATACAGTATGATGACAACTCCATGCATACATAAAAATACTACACTACACGTTTCTGGTGATGACTGGCCGTGGAAATCTCTGCACGAATATAAAAGGCTCAGTTGGCTTTTGCCAACTTACGCCGCCTGTGGCGTTGCCGTGATATCCGATTGCCTAATAAGGGTCATGTGAACTGCACAACAATCCGGTGTGTTCTACTGTATGGCTGTGAAACATGGCCACTGAAGGTGGAAGACATGAGAAGGCTTCAGGTGTTTGATCACCGTTGCCTTATTAGTATAGACCGTATTCGTAGTGTCACCATGTGAGTGAGTAATGCAGAAGTCAAGATTAGAGTTTTAGGGAGTCAGTTGACACGGCTGTGAACCTTCATTGCGTGAGATCGGTGTTTGGGACACGTGTTAGTTATGCCTAGTCGTGGTCTGCCTCGTCACACAATGTTGGTTGAGAAGTAGGTTCAGACTAGAAAAAGGGTGGAGGCTCTCGGTCAGATTAAAACATGCATCAATGTATGAAGTGTTTGACTGTTGGTTTGAGCCAATGTGGGGATTGATGCAGACTGGGTGGTTGGTGTCGGTGGGACAAGAGAAACTAGTGGTTGGAGACTGACTGCAGGGGATATGGCTCAGATGTATACACACATTATTCTCATCTTAACTATGCTATACCGATTCTCGCTATTTTATCATTCTTCATTTCTCTCTTTGAGTACTTTTATTCTTTTGCCTGAGTTTTGTTTCCTTCATCTTCCACTTGACTGCCTTTTTACTTGATGTAGTGATATGAGGTGTGGCAACTCGGACCGTTACTCAGTAGTGCCTGGTCCTATGTTGATTTGGGTGGACGGTGACGACTGACGAGTTATCCGACTACCTTTTAAACGACGATTATGCTCTAAGCAAAATTAACGTAAAACCTCGAACATAAATGTATCGGTTCAACTTGCACAATTCACAGCGCAATATGCAAAGAATAAGTAGATAGTAAAGAGTGATATCAACGTGGGTAAAGATAAATCGGAGGAGAAGAAGCTTGAGAGTGAAAGTTAGTCAAAACACTCAAGTTTTAGAAGACTTCACCGAGGGTCCTCAACTACTGATTCCTATGATCCCGATGACACCAACCAGGTAGGAGAGGCCAACAATGAGGGCTTCATTGACTGGTAAAACGACTTCGCCTGGCCACCTTGAATCCTTTTCCAACCTAATCCAACTTCCCCTACCTTGCACATCGAGGTAGGCGGTGGATTGGTATACGTTACATATATTTAAACTACTTCAGCCAGTGAACTTTCACAATGTCATTAATCGATTTGCTCATCTTGTCTAGTACCCTTTGTCTAACTTCAACATTGCTCATATGGTGATCCTAGCCAGAAGCAGCTGTATAACAGGACAATTGTGTTTCATTTCAATTTGACATAGTTCACATCAGTAAAGTGATGGAAAATTTTGCTGTACATTCAATCTTTTACACATAGTAGTTTATATTTTGCGTCATACACCAATCAATGTTGATAAAACTACCTAGACACAGGAATATCGCAACAAATTTCATCAGTTTAACACCAACAGTAACAATTCAGCTACAGACTCCTGATAATCTTTTAAAAACTACTTTAATCTACATTCATTTAAGGTACAAAAAATGCATGTGAAGGCTTATTGGGACTTGAACAGAATTCTATTAGTGGCAGAGTTGTCATCCAAATTAGTGACAACTAGTGGTGTCCGCCAAGGATGCCCTCTGTCACCACTCCTGTTTAATTTCGCCATACATTTACCAGTGGATACAACCTTTGGTACCTCTGAATTCACAGGAAATCGATCTACTCCTTTGAAGGCACCTGGTTGACTTGCAGTAATATAGATGAAATTGTCCTGCTAGATGAGGACGCTGATAAAATGAAGCGTTTTCTAAGCATCTTGAGCTGAAATGTGAGTATAGTTAGCGGGCATGCATTTCGCACCTGTCAAATGTAACATGATGCTTCAGAACTGGTCTCCTACAGGCGCTCCCAGTTTAATAAAATGAATGAAGTGGTGGAATGTGTTGCCACTTCATTTACTTCGGGAGATGCATCACTCCGAACAGACTTGCTTCTGACGAAATCTCAGCTTGGATACAGAAGGCCCATTCAGCGTTTGACAACTCCTGTCATCTGCCTACCTATCAAATCACGAGTATGCTGCGTTGCAGTCCGTGCTATCCTGTTACATAGCTATGAAACATCACGTTAAAAGTAGAAGACATGAAGCCGCAACAGGTTTTTGATCACAGGTGTCTTCGTAGTATTGCTTACGTAAGGCTGAACAACCATGTGAGTAGTGTTGAGTCAGGCATAGATATTAGGCAAGGCAGTAAAGTTGTCGATAAGGTTATGAACCTATACCGACTAGGCTATGGTGCTGGTCTCTATGGTATGTGGTGCATGAAATCCCCTACCGTTACTCTGGACTGTGTATAGAGGCGTAGACTCCCTAGCTGGGTGCCCAAGACGATAGGAATCAGAGGTTGATGACTAACGGTGACAGTAGGGCAGATGTATTCACTCTTTGACGTCATCCAACCTTCACTTTCAAACTCTCCTCATTTATAAAATAATTAACCAATCGTGGTGGATTATTTACGCTGTGGTAAGAGAAAAATGAAGCATGCAAATAGTAGATATCTGGACAATCATAATAATTATCTCAATAATGATAAGAATAATGCGAACAGCATAGTACTGCAAATATTTAGATAAACAATCCAGGTCAAATTCATTTTAGCCTGTCACACACACACACACCACGTTTCGGACACACACTTATTGTCCATGTTCATATCAGGTAGATCTACAACTTCAAGATAGAGTTTATATAGTCCTCATTTCCTCTCGTCTTCTTTATGATGATAAGGGTGGCAGAAATTCCACAAATGCAGAATCATTTCTATTACTACGTGTATTTGGTGTTGATTCGATAAACGAAGATTCGATTATTGGTTTTTAGTGCTATCGCTCTATCGAACCATAGTGTATGATTGTGTGTACTTGTATGCGGAGCTATGACCGAGGTTTGCTCTAAATTTTTTTATCTTATTAGGATCTACTAATCTGATTTAGCTAAGTTTTTGAGCTCGGATAGCCTAATTTGACCCAGTTGACTAATTTGACCTGTGTATTTAACCTCAGAATCATTGTAGGGGATTTGGTTAACCAGACTATTTTGCCCAGTTGGATAAATAGGATCTCAACCTACAAAGCTGTTTCTAAGCGAGTTTGTTGGTTTAAATGTAAGCCACTTTAATCCCAGCCTTATTAAGAATTCTTCGTAATGCTTTGTATGGTAAGACAGTAGAGGCTTTGAATTCTCTCTCAACCCTGTTACCATTAGTATAGTAGAATTATTATTAATAACACCTGTATTACTACCATTACTACTACTGCTAATATTTTTCGTTCGATTACTTATGAATTTATTTATAAATTTAGGTGGGTAGTTATTGAGACGCAAGGTACTCATGATGTGTCTAATTTCTTGTCGTAGGTTTTCTGGCTTACTGGTGAGCTTTTCCACCCTATCACTTAAGCATTTAACTAGGCTTACTTTAATTGAGATGGGGTAAGTCTAAGTTGCGATTTGAATGGGAAGGTTTCCTAAAGACGACACTTGTCTCGGAACTTCCATCTTGTGTTCGTTTAATCTAGCAATCCAATATTGCCAGCTCACCTTCATCACTTTCTTAGTCACAGGTAAATTGGATTGCATTCACTACTGAATTCATATGTGCCAAGAACCTATTGGTGTGTTCCGATTTCAGTGCAGTAAACGTATCAATCCAGGTCAAAACCTGGAAAAACAAAAGCTGTGCAATACTAAAGGATGAAATGTGTAGATAATCAAAGTGTGTAACCAAATAAACATGTACGTGAAAGAGGTGAAGAAAGGGGGAAGAGAATGGAAATTGAACTTATCTTTCAAGTTATTTATTAGGTTTTCTCCGGCCAAGGCTGCACACAAAGACTAGGGTTGTTTTGTCTAATTCTCATAGCTTAGCTATGTGTAAAATATGAGTGCGAATTCTATTCAAAATATTTTGTGGAATGCGATAGATGATTTTGTCTATTACATGACCACTGTCTACCAAAATGTGACAAAATTGAACTTCGTATTGAGTTCACTTGTCCATTTCCTAGCCATGACGGTAGATGCTCAACAACACATTTGTTAAGCTACCTAGTTGTACGCCCAATATAACTTTCTTAACACGAGCAACTGAATTGATAAATGCCCATAGAAGTGGCAGAACTGGGTAGATTGTCTTTTATCTGAGCAACAATAATCGACCAACTAGAAAATGATAGGCATAAGTTGATAGGATATAAAGTTCTTTTGATGGCTGTAAACAGCCTGTGGAATAGTACTTCACTAGATGCGTCCCCTTTAAATGAGAGCTTCATGAATATTGATTTCTTCTGAACAATTATGATGTTTGATGGACATTTTTTTGTCTAAATATTTGCAGTACTATGCTGTTCGCATTATTTGCATGTTTCATTTTCTTGTTACGACGGCGTAAATAATCCACCATGATTGGTTAATTATTCTATCAATAAGATAATTTATGTATTTTTGAGGGTAGTGGTTACGCTATATCGTGAGCTAACAAAAGTTGGAAATATGGACCAGTGGATTCCTGCAACTCAGTGCCTCAATGGTAACCTGCTGACCACGGAACCTGAAGGTTGCAGGTTCTGTCCCTTGGGGGTGCGTACTGCTGAAGAGTCTCATACTAGGATGAAACAGTGCTCCCAGGTTTCCTTTGCTCCTCCAACTGATGTCAGTCTACGATGAATAACAACTTGAAATAATTTATATATGCCTGATGATGAAGATGAAATAAACAACTTACCACAGTTAATAAGTGATGATTCAGATAGATCAAATCGAGAAGATATTTTTGGATCATTTAATTCTGAAGCACTGAAACTCCATGATTGTGTATCATCAAAATCATAATGATTAGATGATGGTACTGAATTAAATTGTCCCCTTGAAATTGACTGTTGATCATTAGATTTTTCTAATGATGTTTGAACTGATGTTTTTATTAAATGAGAAGGTGTTACTTTACATCTTTTATTCATTATATTTGTATCATTATTGCTACCTAGAATGTTTGAAGTATTTATCAAGTTGATAGCTTGTGTATTGGTTGTTTTAAAATTAACTTTATTATGTAAGTTATTATAATCTTCAATTGAAGTATAGTCATGCTTAGAATGAAGTTGTACAAGTGAAATAGGCTTTCTAAAATAACACAAAATAAAAAAAGCAGAAGAATAGATTCATATATGTAGGATTATCTGATTATGTAACAAAATCTCTATTTATAGAGAATTTCATTTATGCTAGAATATGATTATTAAAGAATCTAGCTTATATATAACTTTTACTAACATACTGATAATTGACTACTAAATCGAATTTTATGTACTGTGGAAATAAATGTCTTAGCTAACAATACCCAATTTTTTTAAAAATACATCAATTATTCACCTGGTGTTTCTCAGTAGACTGTGTTTCATCAGCATCTTCGGACAGATAGATAAAAATCAACTTAAAAGCTCCTATACAAGTTTATCGGTTCAACTCGCTACACTTTATAGGAGTATACAAACAACAGGTGAATATGAAAAGTGAATATTCAAGCCTAAGAAGATGTCAGTGAGTGAGTACATCTGGTCTTTTGCCACCGATTTTTAACCATGTCACCAAGAGTCTTCTTTCGGGCACCCTAGCCAGATAGTCTATATCTCCCCTACATGGCTCAGACCAACGGTCAGAGACTTCATTGACTTGTGTGACGTCTTAGTCCGGCCATCCTGTACCCTCTCCAACCTAATCCAACTTCACCTACTACTGCACGCTGAGGTGGGGAGTGGCTTGGCATAAGTAAAACATGTCCAGGCCACCATAGTCGATAAAGGTTCAAAATTTCATTTGTCGACTTATTTCTCTAGCCTAGTACTCTACGTCTGACTTCTACATTGCTCACAATGATTCCAAAGTACGCGAGCAGTGTGCTACAAAGACATCCGTAGTTAAAAACTTGCGATTTCGTTATATAGTATCCTTCCAGCTATTATGTCTCCGAGCCATATAATAAGACAGAGAGAACACCAGAGCAATATACTCGTCCTTTGATAACTAGTGGTATGTCTCGCCGATGCCAGAGATGAAGTAGGTTGGCTTTCTATATCCCCATACTAAGGCTTCATCAGCAGCCAAACTGTTCAGACTGATAAAACACCCTAAGAAAGTGAAGGGATCAACAACTTTGACTTCAAGTGGGTTGACCTACTCACTGAAGGTCATCTGGTTGATTTCGACTATGCATAGGGTACTTTCGTGCTAGGTGAAGACACTGACAAAATGCAAGATCTTCTAGATGCGTTAACCTCGCCTGGTTAACTAGTACACTAGTTACTAGCCGGTCCTAAGCCCGGGTAAAGGGAGAAGGTTGGGCATAGGGCTAGCAACCCTACCCAACAAAACCAATCCAACAGCTAAACAAACTTCAAAGCACAGACAAAATATAAAACATAAAAACAAACTTATTCCTCGCTGGAATCCGAGGGATGAAATGACGCCGGTTAGTGAAAGCCTTCGGGAATTCAATTGGCCGATGTGTCTTCGCCTCTCTCTATGAAAGCGAAAGTTAACATGGGGACATGGAATGTCCACACCATGTTTGAACCTACCAAGGCTGCCCAGATTGCAAAGGAGATGAGAAGGTATAGCATAGAAGTTCTAGAAATCTGCGAGAGCAGGTGGAATGGAAGTGGACTCTCCAAACTGTCAACTGGAATGTCAATAATCTACTCCGATACTGTCACCCAGATGACAACCATGAGCACACTGAGTTATGGAGTGGCTATCATGATGTCCCCAAGAGCATCGAAGGCTCTCTCTCATACAGTGGGAATCAGTCTCCTCCAGGATCATGACAGCAAGATTCAACTCAAAAGGAAGGAAAGTCACAATCATTCAGTGCTACGCTATGCTATGCACCTACAAATAATGCAGATGAAGAGAAGAAGGAGGAATTCTACAGACAACTGCAATCAACACTGGACAAGACTCCATCCCAGATGGCGACATCAAAATTCTAAAAGGCGACATGAATGCCAAACTGGGAGCAGACAACACAAGAGGAGAACTCATCATGGGTCGAGAAGCACTCGGTGAAATGAACCAGAATGGAGAATTGATTGCAGAATTCTGAGCATTCAAAGATTTGGTGATTGGAGTCAGGCACTGTGGTCAAGCACAAGGATCACCAGAGTGGCATGGATTTGATTTCACCAGACACCAGCACGCACTAAAAATCAGGTCGACTTCATCTCAATGTGAAGAAAGCCGAGACGCAGCCTACTTGACACAAGGTCAAGAAGAGGAGCAGATGTAGGTTCACACCACTCACTATCTAGTGCAAGGAACCTACCTTCAAATCAAGTTAAAAGCCTTCAAGGAAGCTGGTGATAGACCACAGTTCAAGTACAACACCCAGAGGAAACTGAAGGATGGAACTACAAAGGAAATCTTCACGACAGCCAGCCATCAAGACAAAATGGGAGACATCGATGGACATCCCTGAAAAAACCTGTGTGGAAGAACACTGGAAGTCTTTGAAAGAGATGTGGAAAGAAACCTGCACAGCCGTATTAGGAGGGAAGAAGAAAGAAGATAAGGAGTGGAATGGATCTCGATGGACGCATGGAAGCTGATAGAGGAGAGGAGGATGGTGAAGCAGAAGATAAACCAGTGCAAGGATGCTCAACGACAAGAGGAACTGAGTACAATGTATAAAACACTACACTGGACAAAGAAGTGAAGAAGAGTGCAAGCAAGGACAAAAGACACTTCTGCAACACATTGGCAAGTGAAGCAGAACAGGCTGCAGGTAGGAGAGACCTGACAACATTGCATCAAATAACCAGGTTACCTGCTGTCTTGGAAGATATCAACTCAGATGAAACCAATAAAAGATGATGAAGGAAATTTAATTACCAAAGAAGAGAAACAAAGGAAACGATGGGCCGACCACTTCAAGAGGCTCTAGAATCGACCATCACCACCACCTGCACTTCGTCCAGAAATACCACCTGCAGCCACAGAAATACAAGTGAACACAAGCCTTCCGACAAAAGTGGAAGTCCTGAACGCCATAAAGTTACTGAAATGCGGGAAAGCAGCAAGACCACATGGAATCCCGCCAGAAGCACTGAGAACAGACCCAGGGACAACAGTGGACATGCTCACACCACTATTGCAGAAAGTCTGGAAGGAAGGAAAGGTACCTGCCAACTGATTGAAAGAAGGGCTACCTTGTCAAACTCCCGAAGAAGGGAGACCTCAGTGTTTGCAAGAACTGGGGAGGAATCATGCTTCTGTCTACCGCAAGCAAAATACTATGCCGTATCATCCTCGAGACTGAAGGATGTGCTGGATCCAAAACTACGACCAGAACAGGCTGGCTGGCTTCAGGAAGTACAAATCATGTGCAGACCAAATTGCAACGCTTTGCATCATCATAGAATAGAGCATAGAATGGCAGTCAACTCAACTCAACTTCATCGACTTTGAAAAGGCCTTTAACAGCGTTGACCGACAAGTAATTGGGCAACTGCTTCAACACTACGGAGTGCCACAAACAATTATCAACCTCATTCAACAACTATGTGAAGACGCCACATGCCAGGTAATCCACAATGGGAAGCTCAGTCATGCCTTTGAAGTGAAGACAGTGGACAGGAGTAAGACAAGGCTGTCTACTATCACCCATGATCTTCATGATTGTGGTCGACTGAATCATGCAGCAAACAGTAGGCAGCGAGAAAAGGGGGATACACTGGACCGCGGAAAAGAACCTAGAAGATTTGGATTTCGCCGATGACTTGTGTCTAATGTCACACAAACTTGAAGATCTACAGGCAAAAACTAACAAGTTGACAGAAGAGGCGAGGCAGGGCAGTGAAGACAGGACTTCAAGTGAACGTAGAGAAGACAGAGGTGATGAAGATACCCAACCAACACCAAACAACAAACTGCAATCACCATCAACGAGAGAAACTTAGAGGAAGTAACCTCTTTCACCTACCTTGGCGAGACAGCATTGTTTCAACTACAGGCGGCACAGGAACAGACGAGGACGTCAAAGCCGGATCGGAAAAGCAAGACAGGCGTTGATTAACCTAAAACCAGTGTGGAGATCTTCTGCACTCCACTCACCATGTGGAACAAGATCTGGATTTTCAACACCAACGTCAAGTCAGTTCGTCTATATGGTTCAGAGACTTGGCGCGTTACGAAAGGCATTTCCAACAAACAGTAGACTTTCATCAACAGCTGCCTACGCTGGCTCGTTACTGAAGCTCAGATGGCCAGAAAGAATAAGCAACAAGGAACTATGGCTGGCTGGACGAACAAACCAGGCAAGAAGCTATCGCTCAACAAATATGCAGAAGGAAATGGAGATTGATCGGGCATGCACTGAGAAGGCTGATTGGGGACATCAAGCAACAGGCCAGGCACTCGAGTGGAAGCCAGATGGGAAACGACGAGTTGGGCGTCCCAGCTGAGGGTGACATGGAGGAGACCGTGTGAGGAAGAAATGAGAGCTTCTGCGCAGTCGTGGAGCCAGGTTCGAAAGATTTCACAGAACAGAGTTCACTGAAGACGTGCTACTGAAGCCCTATGTTCCACTACGAACCCAAGGGACAAATAATAAAAATATGGACGCGTTGACTAGAAATCTACGTATGTTTGGCATGCGTTTCGCACCTGTCAAATGTAACATGATGCTTCAGAACTGGTCTCCAACAGGCGCTCCCAGTTTAATAAAATGGAACGAAATGGTGGGATGTGTCGACTACTTCACTTACTTCAGGAGTTGTCCCAGCCCGAACAGGTTGATTGCTGAGGAAATCTGAGCTCGGATACAGAAGGCCTGTTTGGCATTTGCCAACTCGCGTCATCTGTGGCAAGGACTGGGGAGATATCCGACTATCTATCAAAGGACGAGTATGTAGCACTGTAGTCCATGTTGTCCTGCTAAACAACTGTGAGACATGGCTGTTAAAAGTAGACAACACAAAGCGGTGCAGGGATTTGATCACAGATATCTTCGAAACATTACCTGTGTTTGATGGAATCCTTGTGAACGATTTTGAGGTCAGGAGAAAGGTACTAATCAAAACAGGAGAGTCGATCGATAAGGTTGTGAACCTTAGTCAACTGAGATGGCTTAGACATGTGTTGCTCTTGTCCAGTCACCGCCTACCTCGACACGTCGTGCTAAATGAAGTTGGATTAGGTTGGAAGAGGGTTCATAATGGGCAGAACAAAACGTGGAACCAGTCGTGTGGGGTCCCGGAGACGAAAGGATTCAATGGTTGAGGACACTTAGTGACGTGGTTGAATGTCGGTCACATTGGTGTAGATGTATTCAATCCATGACGCCTTCTATAGTTTGAATATTTGCACTAACCTTATCTTCAAATTGTTTATTCTCTCACACAACTTTGTCTACTTAGATATCAGTGTTCTTCCAAACTACCTGTTCTTTGAGTATTACTGTGAAGTGTGTGAAGTCGAGCCAATTCATTTTTATGCGAGGTTCTACGTTGATTTTGTCACTCAGTCACCAACTGACTCCCTTTACTTAGCTTGGAAGTAGCTACAGACACGTTCGGAAGCATCACCTTACATTTGACGGGTGCAAAATGCTTAAGACATTCATAAGACCCTAAATTTTGTTAGGGTCTTAGACTAACAAGACAGTGTCGTCTGCGTACTCCTGCTGGGAGCAGGTTGATATCCGTAAAGTTAGATGTACTCATGGCTAATTCATATATAGGGAAGCTAAACAGAATAGGTAATAACTGGCACACCTAACAGATACCACTAGTTATTGTCAGTTCCCATGACAACTGTCCATTAGCCCTTACACAGTTGAGCGAGCTTTAGTAAGCATGATATACTTGCTCGGTACTCCCTTGACAGTCAGACACTTCCACTACACCATATAGTCGACAAAGTCAAATGCTCTTTTCAGCTGAAGAAATATGGATGTGTTTCAGAACTTGTCAGAGGGTGAAAAATTAATCAATATAGCCTTATTTAAGTTTAAAACCTGCCTAGTTTAGATATATCATGTATGCAAAAAGAAGAGAAAACTGACTGAATCAAGGCTAGTCTATCACTCTCTCATATACAAATAAGCGTTAAAATGTTAACTTACTCATCTTTTAACAAGTCGATAGGATTACATTTGGAACTAGATTGATCTGTTTCAAATGCTTCTTTTTTGTACTCCTTCTGATTATTTTGTAGGCATAAATTCATTTTATTCAGTCTAGAGATAAATATTGTTGGCAAACTAGAGAAAGATGAAGTTTCAGCAAATTCTTCAAGTAATTCAAACTCTTGTAAATCAATTGCTTCTTTGTGTGATTCATTCAAATTTATATTCATTAATTCAACTGATAAATGATTGATTGAGGTTTGTAAATCAGGTGAATTCACTGTTGATTTAGCTAACAGATGGGTAGAATTCTGATAGGAGTAAGCATTATTATCGTCATTTTCGATAAGATTATCATTTCTTCCTGAAGTAGTAGTAGTAGTAGTTTCCCTTTTCAACTTTTTTACATCATCTTTATCAAGATCCACAGAATCAGTATTCATATAATGTAAGGAGGATACTTTCGGTTTCAACTTATTCCTTGATGATTCACACAGTGAAAAAATTTGCTTTTTATCATTCAATTGACTTGAAAGAGAGTTATTCATTTTTGTCGGTAGTGACTTTGAATCTTCTGACTGTCAGAAAGTTAAACATATATAAACAAAAAGTGATCAGGAATAGCTCTGCTTAATTCACCAAATAAAAAGGATTCAGTATAAAAATGCTGCATTGGATATTCCTTGCTTCTTCCATACTAATACTATTTTTGAGTTCAGCCCACTTATTTTCCATAGCAAGAGAGATGTTTAAGATGTGTGTGGAGTCACACATAACCTTGTGTACATTCGTGTAGTAGGCAGTGAACCGCACCTATTACTTCCTAGTTGCCCAAACGTCTGTAGGTGGAGCGGTGTTCAACTCCGTGATCCACTGCTTAAACCGATGAGACACAGGCTCCACAGATGTTTAAAAATAAATCGAATTTCTAGACCAGTTGAGTGTTTGAAAAAGTTCCATTTACGAAAGTATGCCCACAAAAGCTTCGATCAAATGAACATTTCCATTTATGAATTACTATATGACTTGACCTATTTACCAGCTGACTCCTTCTATTCTTATTTACCCTTTGCAAACTAGTTGAGTGAATTCAGCAACACTAGTATCTATAAATTCTAAACGCATAACATAACATGGACATGAACTGTATTGTTCAATCTTGTTTAACTAAATTTTTAAGTCTAGTTGGAATTCTCAAGAGGATAGAAATCAGCAGTTGCAAACTATTAATAACATAGCTCAAAATCAGTCACAATGGTGTAAATGTATAGTGGCTGTATCATCTTAAAAACTTGGGTCAGTTTTTATTCACCTCTTCTCATATACAGACTTTCTTTAACTGTAATATGATTCCTTCTCTACTCTCTCTCTCTCTCCATTTTTATGTCCTATCGTGAAGTAGGATAACCTAAACTGGATGCACTTTCGTACAAGATTCAATATTGGTCATCCTATCTGTCTTGCATATCTTTGTGGTTATAACGGTCTACTGGTGACCACTGACTTACGCAATTAAACACAACCTCTGATAGGTAGGTATACCCCATTTAGTGAGCTTCAGTCGGTTCCGTAGTATCATTAGTTTTTAAGTGGAAGACGTGGCTTTCAGTCAAGTACACATTTCTGAAAACAAGCAACAAAACTTGTTGTGAAATTACCCATGACATTTCATCTACTGCCTATACCGATCCGCTTCATCAGAAAAACGCAGCAATAAGATATACACAGCATGCCTTTGTATAGATACTATCACGTTGTTAAAATCGCTCACACTAATAAATCTGGTAATCACAGTTGATGACCTAAGGGGGTATCATATAATGTAAGAACAGTGTGATTGATACGTTTCACATGACCGAAATTTTGTAAACAGCTACTACAAATTATTGGTCAGAAGTTACTCTCGAAATGAGTAGGATATGAGAAGTGTGGAAACTTGAACAGTTTTATGTATGAAAATGTGCAAATGTTGAATTGAATTAGAATTTAGTGAGAATTTACTAGATCCTTATAGTGCAGGTTTCTCCCAACACTAACCAGTAACTATTACCACATCCAGACTCGATAACGAGGCAATGGAAGCTACCAGTTGTCTGAACCTCAGTAGGTGGGTGAAGTTAGGACCCACAACTCATAACTGCCTGAAATCTGAGTGCTTAAACTAATGAGCCACAGTTGCAGTTTGCAATGCCTGCTAAGAGCTTAGTAACTTTGAAAACTAAGTATTCTATGTTAATTCGCTTGGTTTTGACTGACAGAGGAATCCAGGGCGCGCGAGTCCTAATTAAGACGAAATACGCGTACTGTATTCTTCTGCTAGTCACAACCAAGTAAATTATCACAATAAGTATTCAGGCAATATCGAGGCATCTGTATGGGCGCCCAAATGTAAATACAGGTCGAACAATTCGCTCTAATGGAGAATTACAAGCATATTAACAAATAGTAATAACTAAGACCAGCTGTACAAGAGGTGGTTATCCTGCCTCAGTGGCCTAGTGAATAAGGCTTTGGCTTTTGAAGTGATTGGTTCCGGATTCAATTCGTAGTGAGGATAACATCATTCACTGGGGTGCAGGTACATCCGTTCAGAATTCTTCTGCTAGCCACAACCAAGTAAATTATCATAATCAGTATTCAGGCAATATCGAGACATCTGCATAGGTGCCCAGATGTTAATGGAGGTCGAACCACTCGGTCCAGTATAACAACGAAGACTTACAAGTATATGAACAAATAGTAATAACCATTTAATATCACGGGTTTACCAGACAGTTATGCAATTTTCCTACACGTGATAATTGAAAAGTGACTTGGAAATCAAAACAGGATTATGGGGGAAATGAAAATAAGGGAATAATACAGAGATACTTTGTATTTACATGAGTTCCATTATTAAAAATAAAATATAAAGGAATATATTTGCAAAATTCCAATAAGGTACATGTTTCATTCTCTGAAGCGGCTTCCATGAGGTGGCGAAATGTTAGAAATCTATTCTCCTGACCCATTAAGACTTTACAAATATATTGCTTTATAAACCATCTACCCAGTGCACTACTTATTCAATTCAATCAGGTAAAATTTTAATCCTAAATTTGACAAGAACATGAAAAGTAAGATCAATACAGTTTCTACAAATAAGCAAAGTGATGGTGAGTTGTGAGTACATACCTAATATCTACACAAAACAGATAAAAAGGATGACAAAATACTATAAACCGCCTACCTTAGATTGTTCACTTGCTGAACAATCTTGGACAACTGGCTTTTGCAGCGAATTTGCACACTGACGCGTGAGTAACTCACGTGCTGGATCTGTGATTGGTTGGCCTTGTTTCCGTATTTTACTACACCAGGCTGATACACCTTGACGTCGTTTTAGAAAAGGTGCTGGCCTCTTTGGGTTCATACGGCGCTTGGAGGGTTGTTTACCACCTACAAACACAGAATCACCATCGCCATTCTAGTGAAGAAAAATATTTTTTTTACATTAGTTACTTTACAGCCAACAAAAGATACTAATCTAAAGGACTGTTTTTAAACCTGATTGCACGTTCAACATACCTTAAACTTCGTAATGTCTAAAATCATTTGATAGTATCAACTTATAACAACTAGTCCCCTCGACTCTTATACTTCTTCGAATCCCACCTTTTTGAGATCCAATATTACTACCTCTCATAAAATTCACCGTTTAGGCAACTCTGATTAGTGTACTGCTACGAGAATATTTTAGGCTTTAGTACTTCAATCGATAGTATGATGGAAAAGTAGTACCAAGTTCAAGTTCAACTTAAGCTGCTATACAGTGTGACAAGTAGGTAGTATACTCCGATTTACAGACGTTTCTGACACCCTTCACTTGATTATCTGGAATACAGTAGTAAATAACAATGTATACGGTACCAACAAGACTATGCATATAAATCTTGCTTAATAATCAGTGACAAATCAATATGTTATGTGAGGTCTAAGATACCAAGGTATCCGAACCATTCTAAACCAACAGTCTCTTTCATCATTGATTGGAAAGTACGCAGAAAAAATAGACGCTGCGTTGATATGGTCACTCAAAGGTATCAGAACCAAACTAGAGAATAATGTACATCAGTGGGAATAATCAGGAGTTAATCTAAAAGTACATAGCTAGCATGTAAATATTTCTGGATGAAAACAATTTAGCAGGGAAGTAGCTCATTAGTTCAGGTATTTGAGTTTCAAACAATAGGTCATGTGTTCGATTGTCACTCTGCATGCCTGACCGATAGCTGCCACCTTCATGAGGTGGTCGGGCTTGTGTATCACAGTGACCCAACGAGCCATGCTGGCTAAAACACTAGTTCGCTCGAGTTGTTACCATGCCAGAAAGGTCTTTTGAATAGAGGTAAGACAAAATGCTGTCACTATTGTAGTGGGAACTAATCAAGTATAATGGGCGCCTGAAGGAGAAATCGTACTGCTGCTAGCTGGATGGTGTATGACAGCAGTAAGGTGTCTACCTTGAATGACTAGCAATGACAAGCTGATGCTACTTTCGAAATGGAAAGTGGGGTTAGAAAGAGTCTGCCAATAACATACCACACTCCTTCATGCCCCTCGGTTTTTTGGTACACAAGACCCAATCAAACATAATCTCTCCTCTTCAACCCTGCCTCTTCCTTTCCCTTCACCCCCTGATACTAATATTAAGCCTCTTACACTTTACCCAACCTCTCACTCTGCAACCACTGCCAACCATCAAAACTATTGAAACCTTATTCCTAGTCAGCTAAGACCCCGTCATCGATTTTATGTCAGAGCTTTCAACATCCAAACCCTATGCGAAATCGGACACCAAGCATCAGTCGCTAAATTCTAGAATATCTAACCATGGGTGTATGCTGTGTCTCTGAGACGCGTATACAGAACCATAGTGTGGTCATTAAATTGACCTCACCTGACCGAAGTGGTGATCTGCGAAATTCACCTTAAGAGTATCGAAGACCCAATGGCTAACTTTCGTGGACTCACTGGAGTAGGCATAGCATTGAGTTGTAGAGCATAAATGCACTCCTCGACTGGATTACAGTGAACAGCTGTTTAATAGCTGTTCGACTAAATGGATGTGAAGGAAGTAGGAAGGAGTATGAGACCAACCGATGCCTATTTGCAATCTCCACCTACGCACCCACCAAATGCAGCTTGGATGATGCAAAGGATGAATTCTATGAGAAGCTGTCAACCTTACTATATAGAGCAAAACTTTCAGATGTAGTCATAATGGTAGGTGACCTTAGCGCTCAAGTAGTAAAGTTGAGCCGATCGGAAGGGCATTTGGGGGGGGGATATCCGTGGAATTCTATGCCAAAGAACGACAAGGATGACCGTGTGTTGCAAGTTTATCTCAACAATCACATGTTTCTGGTCAGCACTTACTTTAGATACAAGGAGAGACGCTATCTCACATGGCGTCCACTAACGGAGATAGATCACACTGCTATAAACTATCCATCGTTAGAGAGGACCGGAGGAGAGTTGTCGCTGTTTCTGGAGAATCAGTTTGCACTCTGATCAAGCGCCAGTAAAGCCTGTGTGTACTCGATTGGGAGACATCTAAGCATTGATCCGTACTTAACAGCAATTATCTTTCTGATGAAGCCTGGTCTGGTTTCAGTCAGGTGTAGAAACATAGGTAAAGACAACTGTTAACCTATACCCGATGGTTGACATATGCCATTGGATTTCTGCAACGTTATCCGAACTGATTGGTGCGAAAAGACTGATTCCATGATGAAGAGCGAAAGCAACTTAAGTTGACCAAGAGTATTCGCGTCAATTGCGAGGAGTGGTGGGTAGTGAAAGTGAGAAAGATGAAGTAAGCATCAGCGTTGGGTGACATAAGGCAACTATTTAGGTTTATTAGGGATATCTGCTAGAAAAAGATGATAGTGAGTCAAACCATCACTGAAAAAAATGGGACGCTGATAACTTCCAGGACAGGCTGCTTGAACTTTGAGCAGAACACTTTTAAGCACTGTTCAACTGGCTCACAGCAACGCATAAGTCGCCCAATATCCAGCCTCAAAAGGATGTAGATGACGTCCCTCCGAATACTCTAAAGTTGAGGACATTGTATCAAACCTAAAAAGATGTAAACCAGCAGGATCTGATAGTTTACCACCTGAATTTTCAATGATGGAGGTAGGAAATTGCTGATGAGCGACGGAGATATTAGGTAGTGAGCGGAAATCAGAGTAGTGCCGTTCGACTGCTCTAGCTCACTTTTCATCCCAGTCTATAAGAAGGGAGAGTTCTCCTGTGACAACCATAGGGGAATTAGTTTGACTAGGATTGTTTCCAAGATCCTAGGGTCCATAGTTATCCGAGGATTAAGTGGAGCTCGAGAAAACCAGGTTGGCTTCAGACATAAACAAGGGTGCACCGATCATATTTTCAACATCAACAGGTTCTGGAACACAGGCATACCTACCGGTGGCCGATACCTACCACATTTTTCCACCTGAAGGTGACATTTGACACAGTCCACCGCGGCAGTGTAAAACTGTGAAGGAAGTACTAAGCAAGTATATCATGCTTATCAAAGCGCTCTACTCGAACTCACACAGCTATGTAAGCGCTTATAGAGTTGTCATGTGAAACGACGACAACTACTGGTACCCACCAGGGATGTCCACTGTCACCGCTTCTAATTAACTTCTTTTTAGACATACTAATGGACATAACGTTAGGAACGTCCAACTTCACAGGGATTGGTCTACTCCACTAGATGGCTTACACTTGATTGCGGACAGCACTATACGAATGATGAGCCTGCCAGGATGATATGCAGAGTAGTTTAGATTTACGAATCCCAAATAACTGATACATTCCCTGTACTATAAAACTCTCAAAGTTTTGACCTTGATCTAAATGTAATTGCTCTGCAAACTGCAGTACAAACGAAAACCACCTTCTCAAACACTACTAACATTAAGTCTGGTGACTGGGTTCATATCAGGCTATTTCTGCAGGATTGGATGACTGATAGTAATAGAGCAGATTTAGTCAAATACAAACCCAAAGTTATACAAGATGTTCACTAACTTACTTAAAACCTTCTCACAGAAAAAAAAGAATCTAGCAACAATGCTTTGTAGTCTCTAGCTCAATATCAGGTATACCTCCAAACAATTGTAAGAAGAGAAATGTTGCATTTAAGTGCAAGAAACAAGACTAATACTCACAGTTGTACGCGATCTCTCCGAGCCACTGGACTCATCTTGTATACTCCGTGGGTTTTCGAACGTACTCGACTGCAAAATCTCGGACTGCTCAGTTTGTATCTTCCCATCTACTTTAGCTGTTTCATTCTGAGATCCATTGGGGATTGGGTGATCATCATTGTCTGTAAAGTATGGTTGACTCGAGTTTTTCAAATCAAACTGTGACAAGCTAACCTAGGGGCACATATTATAGCTTTAAAAGTAACAAATAGCTAACTTTGAGTTCGTCATCATTGCTGCAAATTGACGTAACTACTATAGGTTTTTCTTCGGAGGTTAAGGCATTCTCTCTATTAATAAATATTGCACTCTTGAGTGTATCTTCTGGAGTGTACTCTAATGGACACCAGATTTTTTGATCCAGAGACCGAGGGACTAAACATCTCATGGCAATCATGGTGTTCCAACATCACGATTTAGTAAACAAATTTCAAATACACACCGTTTCCTCTAGCTCACCTTCATGCAGTCAAACAACTTATCAGATTATAGACGGGTTAAATGGTCTGCAGTATGTATAACTCGTAAGTATGCTTGTGCTGGCTATACTTTAGAAGATACGAAGTTCAAAACGAACTCATAATGTATATTTTCAGCTGCTGACCTCTGTGTCCAATATCCAATACTTTTACGAACTAGTGTATACCACTTAATTCCTTCACTCTCACTTCTACGTCTCATGGAACGGTATCAGGTCCCTGGTGGATTCAAAGGCAATGGGTCTACCCATTAGCCTGTTGTAGCTCTGGTTAGTCAGGTGAGGAGTTGGATGTTTTGTAGATTTATAGTGAATGCATGATCTGTCCAAGGACTGAAGTGGAGATGGGTTGCCTAAACTCAACCAGACACTTGTTCGAACTAGTCGCAAAGGCAAAAGGAGAGGAAAGATGGGTATATGGCGAAATCAATGGAGAGGAAGTGCAAAAAAGGCGAAAAGAAGCGGAACACAAGGGGAGGAGAAGCCTAAGTAAATCTGGGGGAGATAATAACGAACGTTGATAAATAAGCTGAGGTCATAAAGTCAGGAGGGATAGAAGGAGAAGGTAAGATTTTGGGTTAGGCCACTGTAATACAAATTTAACGGTTGTTAATGGAGCTACGATAACCTAAGGTGGGATGTCTAGCTGGAAAGTGTGAGGTTAAGCTAAGTTGGCGGTGCAAAAAATTAGGTATGAGGTGCGTTATGCCGAATTGTGAGGAATCAGCTGTAGCAACCAGGTCCCTATCCAGATCTGATGAGCGCAAGCCGTGCGTCGCTGCATGGCTGTCCAAGCTCTTCTATAAGCTGTCGACAGAATAAGCAGTAAGAATTTCACCAGGCAATGTGTTCCAGCGACTAAAAACCCGAAGAGGAAGGGAGTTCGAACATGCACGGGTTTCTACTCTTTAATAAGGGATTCTACTTGGGTACCACGTGGCCGTTCAGTGGGATTCCACTGTTCAGATGACTTGGATTTTTTAGTATCTTGTGAACCGTCATCAGGTCATCATGTGACCTACGGTAGTTAGGAGAATAAGACGCCGGGCCGAGTTCCAAGAGCAATCTTCATCGCTCACCCCCAAACTTTCTCCAGCACGTCCACATCCCTTTTCAGGTACGGCAGCACAGAGACGTTGTGGACCTCTAGGTGAATTCGTATGTCTTGTAGGGCCTCAGGAAAAGTTCTGGAGTGAGGGCACTTAGTTATCTGCACATAAAGTGTTTTGTAGGCTCTGGAGGTATCTCCTGCATAGCTGGAGTAAGTCACCAGCCAGTCAGTCAGGTGAACAGAGAGTTCAGCATGTTGGTACTACTTCATGCAGAGACCTAGCTAGATGCTGCCTGATGCCATGTGATTATGATGCAGGGCTGCGTTCGGGAAAAGACTGACAGCCAGTAACAAATACTGTATCTAGTACAGACCAATCTTCCAGTCATTTGTTATACCTACCCGAAGAACGTACTGGCACCCAGTTTTTGGTTGACACTAGGGCAGAAGTAAGCGTTGTGCCACCAGCCGCAGTAGACGGGAGAATCTCCAACCTGGAAACAAAATTGCGAGCTGTTCATAAACCTTGTATTGGTACCCACGGCCTGAAAGAATTAGAGCTGCGCCTGGAGCTCACCGCAACATTCGCCCTTAATTATGTCATGACTGATATGGCTTCAACGATTATAGGAACGGATTTTATTCAGTACAGTAATCCGTTGGTAGTAAACTCATCGTAACCACTAGTCTCCTATTGCTGTCGTAGTCCCACGTATCGAAACCATCATCTCTGTGGTATCCATCGGTGCAAAAACTTGTGCTCATGAATACCTGTTGAAAAGTTTCCAAAAACCCACACTAGCTGACTGTGCGAATACTTCATTAAAACATGATGTTACTCACTGCACTGTCTCTAAAGGTCCCCGTCTTATGGAATCCCTAGTGATTAGATCCACAAAAGTCATGTCGCCAAATGGCGATTCGATGAATTGTAGCTTTTTGGGATCATACGCCCATTACAGAGCTCGGGGTCATCACTGTGACGCGTGGTTCCTAAAAAGTCGGCAGAAATGCGTAACTGAGGCGAATATGGAGCACAAATATATATACGGTTTCTGAAAAATACCCTATTCCACACACATACGACTTGACTAATTCCTTTCCCGGCGCAAACGTCCCGAAGATCAACCTGATAAGTGAGCTCCTTCACGAATTTTTGGAGCCTCGTCTACTTCCTAAAACAATGATGAATACCCCGTTTCGGTTGTTCACATTTATTCGAATGCCTTTTGATGGCAGAAAACAGTCCGGATATTTCGGAGATTGATAGACCATGTTCTTTGCAGCTTACCTTCTGTCCATGTTCATATCGGTGACCATGATAATGTAAAACAGGCGCCTAAATAACTTGGTGTGTATTCATTGCATCCGCCTGAGAGGTCTTAATCACTGCCTTCATGTGGCTGGGGTGCTCCGATAAAAGTTAGGGGGTGAAAATTAATGTTTGGCGCTTATCACTAGAATGGTATTTACTGGGAGTCATCTACCCATGGGAGCTGGAAAACCCTTATTCCAAACCAGTGGTGTTCATGGGCTCCATGTTCTAGATGGAATGAGTAGTGTATGAACTTATTTTTGTCGCCGGCACCCAAGGGAGTGTTGCTCCATCGCTTTAAGGACTAGATCCTAAGTCAAAGGTTAGGGGGTGGCCCCCCAGGACTACCGAAACAACTAACCGACCTGCCTGAGAGTAGCCCAGCCCTCGGCACTACTAACTCTGTCGTGGACCGTTTAATGTTTTACAAATGTTGAGAGGCAATTCGTTTTCAAAAGCCGTACATCGCAACCATAGTTACAACAAAACCTACACATTCATCGGTGGTTAATGAGTCAACGCAGGGTTGTAAAAGAGACCAGTAGGGTCGCAAGGTGATAGCGGCTAGAAGGCCAGATCAAAGTCATCAAAAATCTATCGTAGGATTATGGTAAATAAACAAGGAAATGAATGAACTTTCTTAGGCAGATAATGACAAGGGCGAGTTGCAGATTGAATGTGCCTTTTCTGAAAACAAAGGGCAGGCTTGTAACTCTGGATCACCAGAGCCTCTGCATTACACAAGTGGTGAATACTCACTAACTTCAAAACTTTTGCCTTCGCTTTATAAATGCCTTTGAAAGAGGTTGCTTGTGAAGCACAATGACCACAGATAACCCAGTGGTCAAGAATCGAGTAACTGACGGTTTTACACTGTCTTTTAAGCAGCTAAGCGGCTGCCCCCATAATGCTGTCCTCCAGAGGGACATCTGGGACGGCTATCCTGAAGCCAGGTACATCGTTTAAAACTGCCACCCTCGACGTCCGGACCTTGGTGCGTATCGGTCAACAGGTGGGTCCGGCTAGAAGTGTAGAAAGTCCTACTATTAAGGAACGCTACGTCTCACGATCTCCTGCACAAACCTTAATAAAATGCTTCAAATGAGTCCCTAATCTATCAGCTTGAAATGCAAGTTTCATGTGCACTGACGACCGGCCTCACCGTTGTCTGTGTCACACCAAGTGCTACTCGGCTGGATACCCATCAGCAGTCGTCTGCGTACTGTTGGGGCGGTAAGTTCAGCTGGAGCGGGAAGTAGTCAACAAGAGAAATGATGTCTCTTTGTTATCTCTGCCTATGCGCCGGCGGACTGGTGCCCAGATTCAACCGGGAATGAACTGTATCGTCAACTGTCTCCGCTGTGCTACTTGGGGTCCTTTCTCCGCCACTCAGGGCTGGACTCAAATAGATCGTACTGCGATCACCTGTCGATGGCGTGAGTGGTTACAGGGCCGCGGTTCCATATTCAGTACTTGTCTGGGGTTCCGAACGTGTTTCGGTATGCGACAAGATCATCTGGTGTTCTGGTGGTTGTCAAACACGTTGTTCGAAGTAGGTCATCGCAAGCAAATTAGTCACTACTTACGTTCAATCTAAAAATCAATCCTAACCGACCTCACGGTTAGCTAACAACCCCCCGGATTTTGTAGGCAGGCACTGGCTGCACCTGCAAGACGCCATGAAAATGGTGAGTGAGGCCTTTTGTGGCTTGGAAGAACGTCCCGCTAGTAAATAATGAGCCTCTGCGAGCTCCCCGTCTTGACGCCCTGCGGACCGTTTCGGTAGATAGCGAGTACAATGGTTCACGCAAGTTTCTTGCACAAAAGATTACCCAGAGCTTACCCAGTGAGAGAGAAGCAGCAGATGTATCTTGCAATAGTTGGGAGCAGTCCCGCATCGTCTGAGCCAGTGAGAGCAGGGAGTCAGGTGTCAGTGAGACGGTCTGTGAGGTGGATGGTCCACTGACAAACAACCTTCAAAGACTCCAGGAGTGCTGGGTGGACCACTTAGAAAAGCAGTTTAGCCGGTCACTGCTCCAGCTTCCTCAGTTTCGGTGTATTGTGTTCCGTGGCCAGTTAGCATAATCCACCTAACGAAGTGGGGATCCATGAGGAACTGAAAGTTCTAAAACGTCATAGGGTACCCGGCCTAGACAACCTACCCCTACCCCTCTAGGGTGGAGGAACGACTCTAGTCAGGGAACTGACCACATCGTTTGAGAAGGAATGGTAGACTGAGAATATTCCATCACTCCGGACTGAGGCCACTATTGTGCTTGTCTTTAAAAGTAGCCCGCTTAATGTATGTGACAGTCATCGGAGTATTAGTCTGTTACCAGTCGCGTCTAAAATATTGGCTGCTTTCATACTTTGCAGACTTGGCAAAACATGTGAGAAAATGATTTGGGGTATCAGACGGTGTTTCGTTCAGGTCATCGACGCACTAGCCATATGTTCACCCTCCACCATATGCTTGAACACAACCACATGCATTGTTGTATTTACTAACGTGGGGGCTGTGTTGGATTCGTTGGACAAAGCTTTACTCTAGAA